AACGCCAATCGCAAAGTGGGCCAGAAGACCGGTGGAGGCGGTCACGATCCCGGACGTGTCTTAGGTCCAGAGTCGCACGAACCGAACGTGTGAACCCAGCAATGGATTGCTCTCCGAACGAGGAATCCAATGGTGGGGTCACACGCTCGGTTCGATTCCTGTTCAGCGCCTCCGGAGCCCAAGACGCGTCTAGAGTTTTAACCGCCTCCGCCAGTCTTCAGGCAAATTCACTGCGCATCGGCTCGGCGTTTGGTGATGACAATTCGGCGGTAAATTTTGACGCTATCCACTGCAATTTGGATGGAAAGACTTCACCCCAAAATATGGCGAGACATGAAAGTCTCGCCAAGATTTGGTCAGAACTGAAAGTCTCGCCAAAATTTGGTCAGACAAAAAAGTCTCGCCACAAAACGGTCATACATAAAAGTCTGACCCCAAAATGGCGAGACTTTTGTGCCTGACCACGGCCTTTAGGCCGTAACCGTCCGGCGCATTACGGCCTGTAGGTGGTGGTCAGACACAAAAGTCTCGCCATTTTGGGGTCAGACTTATGTGTATGACCGTTTTGTGGCGAGACTTTTTTGTCTGACCAAATTTGGGCGAGACTTTCAGGTCTGACCAAATCTTGGCGAGACTTTCATGTCTTGCCTTTGGAGTGGCGAGAAGTCTGACCTTTGGATTTGTAGTGTCGTCCGTCCCCGATCTGGGCTTGTCTTGGCTGGTTCGGCTCCCCCGCGGCCCGCCATAGGCCTGCAGACTGATTCCGAGAGTCATTTTCGTCGCTCTGTCTCTCTCACACTCATGGGGAGTCTCTTGTAGGAGCGAGAGAGACAGAGCGACGAGGAGGACCCTCGGAATCAGTCTGCTGGCGGCCGGGCCCTGCACCAAGGCCGCGCGAGGCGCGAGGCGGGGCGGGGCGGGGCGGGGCGGACCACCCACTTTAAACACCGACACCATCGCCCTGAAAATGAATCTTATCTTTATTATTACTCTATCCTTCCTCGCGCGGCCGGCCGGTCTGCTGGTCGTCTGGCAGGCCGGCGCACACAGTGGGCCAGAAGCCGGTGGAGGCGGCCAAAACTCTAGACGCGTTTTGAGCTCCAGAGTCGCTAAATGGGACTCGAACCGAACGTATGACCCCACCAATGGATTGCTCTCCGAACGAGGAATCCATTGGTGGGGTCACACGTTCGGTTCGAGTCCCATTTAGCGACTCTGGAGCTCAAAACGCGTCTAGAGTTTTGGCCGCCTTCACCGGCTTCTGGCCCACTGTGCGCATCGTGTGTTGTGGCTGCGGCGTTTATGCTGCAGTATTCGTTCGGTCAGGTCGTTACCACGGAGTGCCGACCAAACACTGTCTGTCATTCATTTTGAAACACACTACAAATTCTCGCAATAAAACCGAGTTTGCGTTTCCCCCGATGTATAGTTTTGCACTATGTTCACTCTAAATGTTGTACAGTGAAGATTCTCCATGTTATGGTGAAAATGTTCCATATTATGGTGGTGCAGCTGACTTCGTAACATACCATTGAGAATTCACTGTACCTTATAGATATTTTGACGAATTTCGTTGGTATTATGGAGAAAATCTCCACCATAATATGTTGGTGCAGCTTCACCGTAAGACATTTACAGTGTTCTTGCTGCGACCAACCTCTAATTTTTTTGCGGTGAAGGAGTACTTAGCTGGGCTGGGCCGTGGCACGCGGAAGTCAGTCCGCCAAAAAAGTCACCGCCCCGCTTGCCTCGAACATTGGCGGCGGCTCGGCTGGCGCATCCTTGGACACGCAGCGCGACGCAGCGGCACGCAGACTGATTCCGAGAGTCGTCTTCGTCACTCTGTCTCTCTCGCACCGTGACGGTACGCTCCATGAGTGCGAGAGAGACAGAGCGACGAAGACGACTCTCGGAATCAGTCTGCTGGCCGGAGCGCCTGGCGGGTAGGCCGCCCGCCGAGGACCGCTGCGTCACGGGACGGCATCCCGACGCCCGGCTCGTCGCTCTGTCTCTCTCGCACCCCAACGCGTCATGAGTGCGACAGGGGCAAAGTAACGAACTCACCATTAGGAACTGCACAGCTCGGCCACTGCAAAGCCAGTGGTAAGTTTACTTGCCACAAATTTGGCAAGCCGTTTTGAATGCCAAAAATTGGCAAGCTTGGTCGGGAAGTGCTCCCCAGCTAGCCAAAATTTGGCAAGCTTATGAAGATTGCCGACCAAAGCTTGCCAAATTTTGGCATTCAAAACGGCTTGTCAAATTTGTGGCAAGTAAACTTAGGCTACCACTGGCTTTGCAGTGGGCTAGTACCGTACGGGCCCGAAATGAAGTGCGGGGCCATATCGTCGGCCAGGAGAGACTTTGCTGCATGATTCCAAGGAGGTGTGAGAGAGACAGAGCGAGAGAGACCGTTCACAGTTTGCAACGCACCCATGTGCAACCTTTCGGCCGGACTCAATTGCAACGTAACGTACCATTTTTCATTGAGAGGGGCATGTCGCCGTTTTTGTTTGACAACGTCCAGATCAACACGTCGAGCTTTTTGAACTGGTTTGGCACTGTTTGCTCGCCTTCGAGGCCGACGCGTGGTCTGTCGATCGTGTCCTGTCTGCTTGCTTGAGATGCGTCACTCCGTGCTTCGACGTCGCACCGATCGTCTTTCACAATCTTATTCTTTCGAGACGATCCCTCATCCTCGCCGTACGTAATCCCTCACCTTTTCTCCCCCCCTCCGCTCCCTCTCCCCGTCCCCCTCGGCCTCCGCACCTCCTCCTTCCCACCCGATGCGTGCGTGTCTTGGTGCGCGCCCGGGACGGCCCCTGGCAGTCCTGCAGTACACACAATGGGATTGAAAATGCGTTTACTGTCATAATTACCGAACACCTTTGCCTTGCCACGCCTCGACGCGGCTCGCGTTCTGTGTAGTGTGTGGGTGTGTAGGCGAGAGAGAGAGAGAGCAGAGGAGAGAGAGAGAGAGAGAGAGTGAGGAGAGAGATGAGTGGATCCGCCAGGGAGTCCGTTACCTCCGTTCCCGCCAGCCCCTCCATACCGCGGCTTGCTGACTCTTGCCCAGGAGGTAACTGCAACCGAGCGGCGTAGCCAGGTCGCTTGGTAATGCTACCATGCTGCTGTGGCACTTCACCAAGAGTCGGTTGACTTAACTAACCCGCATGGTTCTCCCAAACAACCCCCGTACCTACCTCGAAGCCGGTTCTGTAACCAAGCATTTTTTTTCCCTGCACCCTGTGCAACCTTTCGGCCGGACTCAATTGCAACGTAACGTACCATTTTTCATTGAGAGGGGCATGTCGCCGTTTTTGTTTGACAACGTCCAGATCAACACACGGTAAAAACGGTACCTGGTTTTCCCAGGAGCCCTATGGCGAAGACATAGGCGATTTCAGGGGGTTCCTGGGAAAACCAGGAACCGTTTTTACCGTGCACGTCGAGCTTTTTGAACTGGTTGGCACTGTTTGCTCGCCTTCGAGGGAGGGGGTTGTCGAGTGTCCTGTCGCGCTGAGAGCCGTCACTCGTTTGCAACGCACCCATGTGCAACCTTTCGGCGGACTCAATTGCAACGTACGTACCATTTTCATTGAGAGGGGCATGTCGCCGTTTTTGTTTGACAACGTCCAGATCACAACGTCGAGCTTTTTGAACTGGTTTGGCACTGTTTGCTCGCCTTCGAGGCCGACGCGTGGTCTGTCGATCGTGTCCTGTCTGCTTGCTTGAGATGCGTCACTCCGTGCTTCGACGTCGCACCGATCGTCTTTCACAATCTTATTCTTTCGAGACGATCCCTCATCCTCGCCGTACGTAATCCCTCACCTTTTCTCCCCCCCCCCCTCCCTCTCCCCCTCCCCCTCGGCCTCCGCACCTCCTCCTTCCCACCCGATGCGTGCGTGTCTTGGTGCGCGCCCCGGGACGGCCCCTGGCAGTCCCTGCAGTACACACAATGGGATTGAAAATGCGTTTACTGTCATAATTACCGAACACCTTTGCCTTGCCACGCCTCGACGCGGCTCGCGTTCTGTGTAGTGTGTGTGTGTGTGTGTGGAGAGAGAGAGAGAGAGAGAGAGAGAGAGAGAGAGAGAGAGAGAGAGAGAGAGAGAGATGAGGGATCCGCCAAGGGAGTCCGATTACCTCCGTTCCCGCCACGCCCCTCCATACCGCGCGCTGTGCGCTGCACTCGTTGCCCCGGGGGGCACATGTCACCCTTGCCGCCCGCTCCGCCCTGCGTTTGTGTGTTTCTGTCTGTCTGTTCGTCTGTCTGTCTGGTTGGCTAGCGTCCGTCAAGGTTCGTCTGGCTCACTCCTCCCCTTGACCCAGTCTGTTGGTCTGTAGGTATGCGTTTTGCGACCGTTCTGTCCGCCCATAACACACCCACATGCCTTGCGGCGAGCACGCCCGCCGTGCCCTGCCGTGCCGCCGTGCCTTACCGTGCCTTACCGTGGCATGCCGTGCCTTGGCGTGCCATGCCGTGCCGTGCCCGCTATCAAGCGGGCCTATGCATGGCCCAGGATGATTACAATAGCGATGATCGATGCGTCCCGAATCGAAAATGGCGGCCCCTTTTCGTCTTTCGGGCCGGCCGCTCCAGTGCGGTACAGCACGTCCTGGACGCTGGGCAGGGCGTCGGCAGTCACACTGTAAAGAAATTCTCCTCTTTACGAAGGAAATGGCGCTAGCATCGTAGAGTATCTTGCTATGGAAATCCGAAAATGATTCGCACTATTTGCTTCGCCTTATGCTTGTGTGCCGAATTCATTGTAACTTCATCGCAAGACGTTAAGAGTGTGGCATTGTGCCCGGGGCGGCCTGGAGCTGCTTGGGGCTCTGGGCTGGGCCCCGAAGGTGTGCCAGCCGTCCAGGCGTGGCCGTGCGTCGACTTGATTTTATTTATCGTTATTTTTCTCGTGCCGCCGCCTCGCCGGCCGGACGCTTTGGGGACGTTTTATTTGGACACGGGCTGAATTTGCTTTTGTTTGTTGTTGTTGCAGACCTGCAGTTTCCAGTGGACGTGGCGGCCGTGGCCAAGGACCACCCGTTCCTGGAGCAGGACTCGCTGCAGTCGCTGTTCCGGCGGCTGCAGGCCCTCAACCGCACCGCCAACATGAAGGTGGACAACCTCCAGGGACAGGTAAGGCGGCGCCATGGCGGAGCCTAGCCGGGGTGAGGTGACGACTTTACCCACTACGCTGGTCCAGTGGCGGATCCAGAGCTGGCCTAGGAAGGGGCGAAGTTGCACTCCTTGCCTAATCACAGGGGCAGCGTACGGCTTTTGCCAACCCTTCAGCCCCCCCCCCCCCCCGGCATCTGCCGCCGCTGGCCACGGCGACGTTAGCTCGATCTCGATCACTGTCAGCCCCGTTACTCCATAAAGAACGGCCAGCCTTTGGCTTCCACGGCCGCTCGATGTATCGATCCATGTATCGATGCCCTTCCGATTCGATATTCCTGGATCGTGATGGGTGGATGCTGCGTGTCGTAGCCCGAAGCGCGGACCCCCCCCCCCCCCCCCCTCTTTTCCTTTTTCTTCGGGTCCACACGTCTCCATTCCCTCTGCGTACCCCTCCCCGGTTGAATTTATTTTTTCCCCGCCTTGGTCCACCAGACATCTGCTGTTGCTCTAGCTCGGCGTCGCTCGGCGTCGCGGCTGGTCTTGGCAGCGTGGAGGGCTCCCGTTTCCGCGCCTCAAGGGTTGCCCTCCGACCGCGGTGTCTGGCGCGTCGCGGGGCGTGGCGGGGCGGGGCGGGGCGGGGCGGGGCGAGGCGGGGCGCGAGACGGGCGCCTCAGAGGACTCGGAGACCCCCTCGACCGCCTCCTGGGGGGGAGCGCCGTGGCGGGGACACTGCCTCAGCTGTGCTGCACCAGCAACCAGCAACGTACAAACAAGTCACAGCAGCCACTCAAAAGTGACATCAAATGATAGTCACACGGACGCAAATTGGCGCGACACTCCTTTCGGTTGGGGTTGCAGCTCCCTTGGGAATCCGGCACGAATTTCCACCTCTCTCGCCGCCATGTCACCAATCGCATCGCGCCGGGACAGCCACTTCCAAAACGGCAATACGAGCCGCGCGTCACAGCGCGTCGCTGCACTGCTGCACTCCATGGCGCCGCGGCGTGCTGGCTCGAGTGGCCTTCTGCTGGCGCTTCGTCTCGCTCTGGCGCCCCATGAGTGCGACAGAGCGACCGCGACGCCACGACTCTTCGGAATCAGTCAGCAGGCCCGGCTTGCTGTACGTCGCGGTGCTGTCGCTGCATTTCGGGGGTCGGCCTGCTGGCCCGCTGGCTGGCCCGGATGTGCATTGAACCGTGGTCGATACCCCGCGGCGCTGCGAGGCTCGCGGCCCTCCGGTGCTCAGTGAGGCGCGGGGTATTGCCGTCGCGGGGCCCGCCAACGCGCGCCAACGCACAGTGGGCCAGAAGATCGGCGAAGGCGGCCAAAACTCTAGACGCGTTTTGAGCTCCAGAGTCGCTAAGTGGGTCTCGAACCGAACGTGTGACCCCACCAATGGATTGCTCTCCGAACGAGGAATCCATTGGTGGGATCACATGTTCGGTCCGAGTCCTATTTAGCGACTCTGGAGCTCAAAACGCGTCTAGAGTTTTGGCCGCCTCCACCGGTCTTCTGGCCCACTGTGCAACGCCAAGCCCGAGCGAAGCAGCGAAGCCCCCTGGAGCCCAGGCGGGGCGAAGCGGGGCACATTGGGCACACTCGCGCACGGCCCTTTGCCCGGCGACCTGTTTCCACCGTCCGATTGGCGAGGCGCGGCTCCACTCGTCTGCACCAAAACCACAGGGGAGCGTCGCGTGCCGAAAGGAACGAAAGCGGTGCTAATTTTTCTGGCTTGGGCCTGGTCTGGTGCACACACTCACTGACGACATGAAGCTACCACACACATACACACACATACACACACATACACACACACACACACACACACCGCACGCTGGGCTGCAGCCTGTAGGCCTAGGATGGCTGGGTAGGGAGGTTGAAAGACAATTGCCCACCCTTGACCAGAGTCAGCCGTAGGTGGGCAAAAGGTAACACTTTGCGCCCACAAGCAGGCACCGTGTGTCGCCCCTGCCCCCTTTTTCAGTCTAGCTCTGGATCCGCCACGCCACCGCTTGGGGCGTCCCAACCCGCCGGCCGGCCGCGGGGCCGTGCAATGCGTGCAATGGGTGTGTAACGCCCCACATCGAGCCGGCCAGCCTGTGGCGAGCCTGTGGCCAACCTGACCGCGAGGCGCACGACGGAGGCTGCGCCAGCGCCGACTGAGTCCGTCGCTCTCTCTCTCTCTCTCTCTCTCTCTCTCTCTCTCTCTCTCTCTCTCTCTCTCTCCTCTCTCTCTCTCTCTCTCTCTCTCTCTCTCTCTCTCTCTCTCTCTCTCTCTCTCTCTCTCTCTCTCTCCCTCTCTCTCTCTCTCCCTCTCTCTCGCACTGCTGCGGCGCGCCGCACGGGTGCGAACGAGACAACGACTCTCGGAATGAGTCTGCTGTCTGCAGGCCGACCTAGCCGAGATAGCCAACCTCAATCTCCACGCTCCACGCGTGCTGCCCTTGCGCCTTGCGACCCGCCGCCTTGCGACCCGCCGCCTTGCGACCCGCCGCCTTGCGACCCGCCGCCTTGCGACCCGCCGCTGCGCCCGCCGCCTTGCGACCCGCCGCCTTGCGACCCGCCGCCTTGCGACCCGCCGCCTTGCGACCCGCCGCCTTGCGACCCGCCGCCTTGCGACCCGCCGCCTTGCGACCCGCCGCCTTGCGACCCGCCGCCTTGCGACCCGCCGCCTTGCGGTCAGCGCGGGGCGCGTGGCGCTGCGGCGGTTGCGCGTACGCCGCGCAGCAGACTGGTTCCGAGAGTCGTTTTCGTCGCTCTGTCTCTCTCGCACTCATGAGGCGCCCCATTTAGACGCGAGAGAGACAGAGCGACGAAAGCGACTCTCGGAATCTGTCTGCATTCGCGACGACGGCCTGTGACGGCGTGCGACCCCCGGCCGGCGTGCGCGGGGTGCAGCGCGCAGCCTGGTGCCGACGGTGCTTTCGCCGCTCTGTCTCGGGCACATTTTCGGTATGTCAATCGAATTCCCTGGATCTCGGCCAGGCAAGGGCCACGGCAGGGACTATTGCGTCGCTTTGGCGTCGCTTTGGCGTCGCTTTGGCGTCGCTTTGGCGTCGCTTTTGCGTCGCTTTCGCGTCGCTTTTGCGTCGCTTTGGCGTCGCGTCGCCTTTGCAGAATCCTGGCCGACACTTGTCCTTTTACGTACATGCAGTCGTCGTGGCGATGGCGCGCGAGAGCCGCGGCCTGCGTCGCGGCCTGAGCCCCCCGGTCCGGCCGGACTGACGCGCACTGACGTCACCGAGCCGTTTTGTGATCCCGTCGATGGGGAGCTGCGCGATGCTGCGCGATGCTGCGCCACTCGAGAGTGTGAGTCAGAGGGTCTTTCTTTATGAATGGAGTGGACTGCTGCGCGCGTGTGGGTGTGTGTGTGTGTGCGTGTGCGCGCGCGCTCCCTACGGAGATTGTTTGTCACCGTTTGCCAAACGATGCCGGGGTGATGATGACGACGTGGTTGCAGGCAGAGAGCAAACGCTGATTCCGATCCGAACCGTGTCCGTGGCTCTGCCTCTCTCGCACCCCGGCGGGGCGCTACATAAGCGCGACGGAGAGACAGCGACAGTGGCTCCGTCGCGCGTCCTGTTGGATTCCGGTGAAAGACGCGTGAGTCCTACTCCTCCTCCCTCCCCCCCTTTCCCAAGCGCCACACCGGCCCACGAACGCGAACCGCGACGCGAACGCACTTCCACGAATCGGCGCGACGCCGAGGCGTACCTGCGTCCACCTCGCCGCGTAAGGCCGGGCCAGCAGACTGATTCCGAGAGTCGTTTTCGTCGCTCTGTCTCTCTCGCACCTGTACGGGACGCCCCGTGAGTGCGAGAGAGACGGAGCGACGAAAACGACTCTCGGAATCAGTCTGCAGGCCGGGCTGTGAGAAGGACGCGGAGGACGCCGTCGCGGCCTTACCGCCCTGTCCCGGACACCGTCCCGGACACCGTGCCGGACACCGTCCCGGACACCGTCCCGGACGCCGTGCCGGACACCGTCCCGGACACCGTCCCGGACGCCTTGCCGGACACCGTCCCGGACACCGTCCCGGACGCCGTGCCGGACACCGTCCCGGACACCGTGCCGGACACCGTCCCGGACGCCGTGCCGGACACCGTCCCGGACACCGTCCCGGACACCGTCCGGACACCGTCCCGGACACCGTGCCGGACACCGTGCCGGACACCGTGCCGGACACCGTCCGACGCCGTGCCGGACACCGTCCCGGACACCGTGCCGGACACCGTCCCGGACGCCGTGCCGGACACCGTGCCGGACACCGTCCCGGACGCCGTGCCGGACACCGTCCCGGACACCGTCCCGGACGCCCCGGGCACCGTCCCGGACACCGTCCCGGACACCGTCCGGACCCGGACACCGTCCCGGACGCCGTGCCGGACACCGTGCCGGACACCGTCCCGGACACCGTCCCGGACACCGTCCCGGACGCCGTGCCGGACACCGTCCCGGACACCGTCCCGGACGCCTTGCCGGACGCGACACGCTTTTGTCCAGCCTCTCGGCCCTCATGACGTGCTCCAGAAACGCACCGGTGCACTTTGGATCTAGAAAACACACGTTGCGCCGTTTGCTGCATCGCATGACATAGCTGCGGCAGTCGCGGCCGCCATGCGCAGTGGGCCAGAAGACCGGTGGAGGCGACCAAAATTCTGGAACGCGTTTTGAGCTCAAGAGTCACTAAATGGGACTCGAACCGAACGTGTGACCCCACCAATGGATTGCTCTCCGAACGAGGAGTCCATAAGTGGGATTTCGCCTTGAGGGGAGAGCGACGCTCCCCACCAACCATTCCCCACCCCTGGATGCGCGCCTGGGCGAGGAGCCCCTCGTGACCCCGTCGAGGAGGTGGCTCAGGAGGGCCATGTCCGCAAAAGTTGCCCACCTGCAGAGGGCTACTTGTTGCCTACCTTTCCGGCTGCTATGCGACTTCAGCCCCCCCCCCCCCCTTTCTTACCCCTGGATCCGCGCCTGCCGCCAGCGACACGTCGCGATCCTGCCCGTCCTGCCCGCCGTCCTGACGAGCAGAGCCAGCGGGCGGGGCCGAGCCGAGCCGAACGCGGCATCGGGTGAATCCGGTTGACCTGGATAGTCATTCTATTCAAATGGCGAGCTAATTCGCCCTGCGATTGGGTATTCTGCGTGGGACTGGCAGACTGGCAGGTGTAACCGGTGTAACGGCGCGGCAAGCCAAAGGCAAGCCAAAGGCAAGCCAAAGGCAAGCCAAAGGCAAGCCAAAGGCAAGCCAAAGGCAAGCCAAAAGGGAAGCCAAAGGGAAGCCAAAGGCAAGCCAAAGGCAAGCCAAAGGCAAGCCAAAAGGGAAGCCAAAGGCAAGCCAAAGGCAAGCCAAAGGCAAGCCAAAAGGGAAGCCAAAAGGGAAGCCAAAGGGCCCAAAAGGGAAGCCAAAGGCAAGCCCAAAGGGGCCCCAAAAGGGAAGCCAAAGGCAAGCCAAAGGCAAGCCAAAGGCAAGCCAAAGGCAAGCCAAAGGCAAGCCAAAGGCAAGCCAAAGGCAAGCCAAAGGCAAGCCAAAGGCAAGCCAAAGGCAAGCCAAAGGCAAGCCAAAGGCAAGCCAAAGGCAAGCCGGGTCATTTTGTCCGCACTTTCATTCCCCTTTTCCGTGAAAGCGTGTTTATCTTGCAGCGCTGATGAGGCTGGGGCTGCCTGCCATATGACGCGTGGGCGGCGAGCGCGCGAAACGGCGTGGGTTCGAATACGGCGCCTACCGCCCCCTTTTTCCTTTTTTCCGCGACGACCCTCCTTCGGCAACTAAACTGGGCTCGTGCTGGGTGGACAATGGCTGTATGCACTACGCACAGAGGGCGTGCCGCACACGTGTGTGTGTTGTGTGTGTGTGTGTGTGTGTGTGTGTGTGTGTGTGTGTGTTATTAAAGGTGAAATCGGACGTGCACTCTAATGCCCCCTCCTCCTGCACCGCACCTGCGAGTTGGCCGTGCGCCGTGCGTACACGGCGTGTGTACTACGGTGTACTACACGGTGAAGGCGGCACCCGTCGAGTCCAAGTGATGCAGGCGTTAGTTACCGCGGTCTCGGTGCGGCGTTGGCCCGCCGGCTGATTCCGAGGGATCGCCTCTTCGCTCTGTCTCTCTCGCACCCCTACGGAACGCCCCATGAGTGCGAGAGAGACAGACTGAGCGATGAAAGGATCCTTGAGGCGGCCGGCCCGGTCTGCTCGCTCCGTGCGGTCTGCTGCAGTCGGCTGCAGTCCGGAGAGGAGAATTCGCTCCGCAAAGCAAAAGTGGCAGCTCTGGCGGACACTCTCGGAACTACGTCGGGCAGAGGGTACGGCTGGTCTCACGAGTGGATACCCCCGGGAAGATGCCGCGGCACCGCCGATGGGAGCGCCCCAGCGGCAGTGGTGGGGATGGCGCGGGGCACCGTGAGACTGTGGCGCCCCGGGCGGAGACGGGAAGAATGGTGCTTTCGATTCACGCAAAATTTTAAAAAACTGGCGGGGGGAAAGGGAACCGCTTGAAAAAGGAGGGAACTAATTAAGTTGGCAGAACAAAGGAAGTACATAAGTTACAAATGTTAGGGGAAAAACGCACGATTATCGGTCATTTCTGTTTGGCGTCAACCTGTGAAGATTACTCAAAGGAAGCTGTTCACTATGGTAAAACATGGCTGCCTTTGATATTTGATCATTTCTCTATAAAAAAATTTTTTTGTCTGGTCTCAGGTAACAACGCGAGTTGAAACTTTGCTTACTTATTAGGTTCATTTAGTTCCCAAAACAAAATTCAAACCAAAAGTTTAACGTTCTCTGAGAAAAGTAGCTTTTTAGTGTTTTTTTGAGCGTTGGGGAAAAAACTTCCTGCGTCTTTCATTAAAACGGAAAGTCTTTAAAATTTTTTTTGGGTTATCCTAAAGATGTATAGGAGATATTTTTGTGACGGAATTTTCAATTTTAACTTCTGTCCTAAAATATGAATTTTCAAATTTTAACTTAAAAAAAAAAATGAATTTTTTGCCCTTTTTTCAACTTTTAGGTGTTTGTAAAAAAAGGAGGGCTGATATCAAGATTCCGTCACTAAAATTTTTCGACAAGTCATCAATGAATAGAGTCCATGCAAGACGACTCATGTAGGGGTCAACCCGGAACGCAGGAAATCTTTCTACGACAAATTTTTTGTTGACTGAGCAAAAGCTGTGAAGTTTAGCGTATAAGCCAACGACAACTGATCTCAATGTTAATTCTTTCCGAATGATGAAGGAACTACCCACATAGTTTAAAGGTGTTCAACCTGTTGAATCTGAAACCTTCTATGCACATTTTTATCCATGAACTTTAAAAATACTATTTTTGGCAGTTTTGGCCATTTTTTCACCAGCCCCCCCCCCCCCCCTTAATGTCCGCACAAATGTTTTTCCACTTTTCCGGTCGGACCCACCCGCTTAGCCCTTTCGTCCGCCAGGGCGCTACAGTCTCACGGTGCCCCGCGCCAGTCCCCACCACTGCCGCTGGGGGCGCTCCGATCGGCGGTGCCGCGGCATCTTCCTGCGCGTATCCACTCGTCTGGTCTCGGAGGTGCGTGGAGGGGGAGGCACGCACTGCTCGGACACTGCACCGTAGCGCACCGGAGACCAATGGACCCTTTATATCGTCCTCCTGGCTAAACGAAGTCTTTAAAGAAAAAACACGTCGGGATAAAAAATTTTAGAGCTTACCGCTACACTATAAACAAACCAAATCCGAATCCAATCGGACCAATAGCGACGTCTCTATGACAAAAAGTCTGTTTTTCAGAAAATCTGTTGGCTTCAGAAAACGGTTTGAGGTTTTCAAAATCAGTTTTCGGCACATGATAGTCCTCGACGAGCCTCACAATCGCCTCGCTTTGACCCCCCCTAAATTTCGACTCCTTCCCCCTGAAAAACGCGATGCAAAATAACCAACTGCGCGCTGCCAAGAGTCCAAACGCTTTTTCTAACACATTTCTGAAACAAATAATTGTTTCGGAACACGAAATAGTGCCTTTTTATCTTCAAGATTTTTCCTATGATATGGAAAAGACTGCAAGTCGATACGACTTCGGATAAGCCCTAAAAAAGGTGCCGAGTGCGAGGTGGTCGGTGTGCATTTTTGAAGTCCGGTCTAGCCTGGCGCCGGAATGCATGCGCAGAAGAGTGCGCAGAGCGCTGATCCCGGAGCTCTGCCAGAGAGGTTAGGATCTTCGAAGTTTAACGTTTTAATGTCATTTTAGCTCGATTTTTACAGTACCCCGCGTGGAGGTTGGTCTGTGTGGGAACATTGAATAACTAGGGCGAAAATTTACGAGTAATCTCACTCAAATGTAGCATACTGAGACATCGCAAGCACGGAGCCGAACCGGCGCGGACCAAGGCAGGTGACGAGTGACCATGGAGAATAGAGGGGATGGAGGACCGGCTGGGCCGCCTGGCGCCTGCGTTTTGGACTGCCGGCCGCGTCCGGGGGTTGGGAGTACGCCGCGCGGCCACCACGCGGCGCTGCGATCGCTATGCCTCCACTTTGCCGCGCCACAGCACAGCGTAGAGCCTTCAGACCACTATCTTTACTCACTACATTGTCCGAAATCGACCCCTTTCTGGAATGTCACTTTGAGTTAACATTTTATATGGGCTCCGAAAAGGTCCAGGGACAAGGCCGAATATACTTTTCCAGCGTACAATGTAAGTTTCTTCATGATAAAGCCTCATTGTCTTGTGGCCAAGTGCATGGGATCTCTGATGCAAGAAATTGGACAAAGTATTTGACTGAATTTTTTGGGTAAACTTATTGATGAGATTAAATCAGGATGCACTTCAATTTAAAACTATTAGTACCTCACTATTACCAATGCAAACATCCACAAACTGGAACATGATCTGGTGAGGTGTTTTTTGGGCTGATAAGACAATATTAGTACTCTCAACCAAAGTTTTACTTAGAACTTTCAGACTTCTCTTCCTTCGATTCTCTTGGAAAACTCCAGATTGGATGTAATATAACTGGAGGATAAATAGGCTGTTTAGCGGAAGAGCAAGCTAAGTCAATTTATACCAACGCTTCACTTTCACCAGGACCCTATTCTCAAAAATATTTAAAATAAAGTAGTGTAACATTTTTTATTATTATGATTGCCATCAGAGGGCTTGGTTACATGTGCAAAATTAGGCCACTCATAGAAGAGCTTTGAGTTATGCATATTTACGCAAAAAAATAGGTTGTTGCGTAAACCTTTATAACTTATGAATGATTGAGAGTTCAGGGTTCAAACTGCTGGTCTGATTTCAACTGATAGAAGGCCATTCCATCAAAGTCAAACAATTTTTTTTGGTGGGATAGATAGCTATCTGCACAGAAATATTTTGATAAACCATAATTATAGTGTAAATAGTCACCAAAAAAGTGAATACATGTTAAATTACTACTTTGGTGATGTATCTGAAATTTTACTTTGTTCAATAATATATCTTTAAATTTCCCAAATTTGTGAGGCCAAAAGCTTGCTGTAATTGCATGCACGCTGGAGCCGCTGACTTCAATGCAGGAATATCCAACTTACGTGGCACAATATTGCACTTATATTGTTCCCATATTGTTATTTTCCGTAATTCTACTCATATTAACTGGGACAAAACGGGGATATACTCTGATAAACCTTAAAAATGCAGCCATTCCACGCTGGTTTACATGAGTCTTCCCTAAGGACCCGGCGGGAACCAACCCAGAGTGGAGGCATAGCGATCGCAGCGCCGCGTGGTGGCCGGGCGGCGTACTCCCAACCCCCGGACGCGGCCGGCAGTTCATTTCTGACTCGCAGCCGATCCTCCATCCCCTCTATTCTCCATGGAGTGACGAGGCCAAGACCCGCTTCACCCTGAGGCCGCGCGCGACGGTGCTGCCATCTAGCGGTAGCTTTGCGGGGCGAATAGAGACATCACTGCCCCGTCATCATGCCGCCGCCCCGCCCTGAGCAGGCCGAGCGGCCCGAAACGGAGGAGGAGAGACAAAAACTTTTCTGAACGCCGCGCCCGAGGGCTTGCGTAACGATTCGGGGCGGGACGGGACGACGGGACGGCCGCCGGGTCGTTGCAGCACGACGCATCACCCGGTGAATCACGCACACACACGCACACACACGTGTACACACACACACACGCAGACACACACAGAGGCTCAAGCCCGAGCGTGCGAGGGATGGCCGACGTGGTTTTTACGCGCACTGCACTTTCCATTGAATCGTGAGGGCACGACTCGCAAGCAAAGCTGATACGTACTCAGTCTGCGGTATTCTTATGCCCGTCAGTAAAACTTGAGCCGAGCTTTTCAATAACGAAATTTCGCAACCGGAGAAAAAAGATGCTGATAAACGGCTCGGCCTTTGTTTGGACTGGCCTTTTATACCTCGGGCCGTCTGGCTCGAGAGCGGGGAGGCGGCAGGTCAACCTCATCGCGTCGCACCTGAAAATCGGAAGCCGTTTCTCACTTGACGCCGCCTTGCTGCCTTGCCGCCTTACGCAATAGGCCAGCCACGGCCAGCCCAGGCAAAGGAGGCAAAGGTTTGCCGGGTCCGCGCGGCGGGTAGCGGGAAGAAGGCGTGTCTGCCCCCCCCCCCTCTTGGCCTTCCCCGGCCCGCTACCTCCGCCACCGTAACGGCGCCGCCGCAGCCGCACCTGCCAGTGTAGTGCCACCGCGTGGTGCCGCCGTGTGGCAACACTAGTAGCCGGCCAGTGACACGCCGTGACACGCCGTGACATCCCAACGGCCGTTTTCCCGCCTGGCTTTGATCGCGTCGAACATCCACGGGGGAAGCAAGTTGAACGCTTCTCACTGAGTGCGGCGATGATTTTACTTGTTTCTCGGGCACGGCCGCCAAAAATGCCACCGGGACAACTTCTCGAAGTCAAGGGTGGATGGCGGATCCAGGAACGAGTTCAGGAGGGGGCGCAAAAGTCGCCTAGATACAGGCCAAGTGCATTTTTCAGACTGTCTTTCAGGCGGCCTATCCGCCTTCAGGGGGGCGACGCTCTGCCGCCTGCAGACTGATTCCGAGAGTCGTTTTCGTCGCGCTGCCTCTCTCGCACTCAACAGGTGCGAGAGAGACAGCGCGACGAAAACGACTCTCGGAATCGGTCTGCTGGATGCGCCTGCCCGGAGTAGGTACGAGCACCGGCAGTAGGAATGTATGTGTTCCCCACTAATGCGTTGCCGTTACTGTTCCAGGGCGACGACTCCGACGAGGACGACCAGTGCGCGCTGAGCGAGAACTGGACCTTCCAGCCCGAGTCCCGGCGCTGGTCGCGCGTGTGCGACGTGAGCGCGGAGCACGCCGAGCGGCTGCAGGCGTTGTCGGCGCAGGCCCAGCAGCAGGGCGACGGCCATGGCGACGCCCAGGGCCACGGCCAGGGCCACGGCCAGGGCCACGCCGACGCCGACAGGGGCCGGGACGCGGAGGGCGGCGGCGCCAGGGCGGCCGGCATGGACACGCCCCCCGCGTCGCAGTCGCACCTGCTGCAGGTGCCCGGCGCGCGCCCCTTGGGGCTCGACGCCCCGGCCGGCGGCTCGGCGCACGGCGAGGCGCACGGCGAGGCGCACAGCGAGGCGCGCAGCACCCTGGAGCCGCTGGCCGTGGAGCCCGTGGAGGGCGGCGACGGCGACGTGGTCATCTCGGCGGTGCGCTTCGGCAGCCTGCCCTTGGCGGGCATCGGCGGCCACGGCCTGCCCACCGAGTCCGACCTGCTGGCCGTGCGCTTCCGCCGCAGCGGCTCGGAGCGGCTGCGCGACGGCGCCAAGGCCCTGCTGCGCCGCATGGAGTCCCTCAAGACGCGGCGGCGCAAGCGGCAGAACCGCGAGGGCGTGGTGATCGGCAGCCCGCAGGTCCTGGACGTGGCCACCATGCAGCAGCGCATGCGCGACCTCAACTGCGTCGACGTGTCCCCCACGGAGCAGGCGCCGCCGGCCTTCCCGCCGCCCTCGCCCGGACGGGGCTCCTCGCCGTCGCCGTCCTCGGACCACGGCAACACCAGCGGCAACGCCAGCGGCGGCTCGCAGGTAAGCCGTCACTTCGCGCCGTAGCGCGGCATAGTGGACCAGAAACCGGCGGAGGCGGCCAAAATTCTAGACGCGTTTTGAGCTCCCGAGTCGCTAAATAGGAAGCGAATCGAACGTGTGACCCCACCAATGGATTGCTCTCCGAACGGGGAGTCCATTGGTGGGGTCACACGTTCGGTTTGAGGCCCATTTGGCGACTCTGGAGCTCAAAACGCGTCTAGAGTTTTGGCCGCCCCCGCCGGTCTTCTGGCCCACTGTGCGCTGCAGACTGATTTCGAGAGTCCTGTGCGTCTCTCTGTCTCTCGCGCCCAGCACCATTGCGAGAGAAACAGCGCGACGATAACGACTCTCGGAATCAGTCTGATTGGTAGACCTGAGGCGCACTTTTACGCCTTCCTTCAAGCGTAGTGGTCGCTACACGCGACTTGTTGTATGCTCGAATGAAGCTTCGCTTCAGTTCCACCAGTGATCTGCGCTCCAGTTTTATCAGTGCACCCCCACGCCGCTCACGCCTCCCTTGGGCCCCTTGCTGTCTCCAGGGCTCGCTGTCCCGGCCGTCGCGCTTCACGCGCGCCACCCGCCGCCTGCTGAGCCGCGACAACACGGACCCCGGCACGGCGGGCTCGGCCTTGGGCTCGGCCTTGGGCTCGGCCGGCGCGTCGCTGTCCGACTCGGAGTGCCACCCGGCCAGCTGGCGGCAGTGCTACCTCAAGGACGCCAACAGCAACAACACCAAGGTGCTCGAGCTGGTGCCCGGGGCCGCGGCGGGCTGCCCCGGCCCGGACGCCGAGGACGACCACGGACAGGCCGCGAGGAAGCGGCCCGCCAGCGAGCGCAGCGCCAGCGGCCACCCCCGCGGCCAGGGCCAGCCCCACACCCGGACGGGCAGCCTCCGCGACAGGGACAAGGCGTCGCCAGGCTTCCGAAGAGGTCAGTGTAGGAGAATGCACTTGAATGAGGAACACACTGGTAGAACAAAGGCCCCTCACCGGTTGACGTCATTACGGGGAGAAACGCGCTGTCCGCTCTGGAAACGTATCGGCGGTACTTCGTGCTGTTTCAGGGGCATGAATTGACTTTGGTGTCACAGAACAGTCATGCCAAAAATTGGCGTGACTTCTCAAGTCATGCCGTTTTTGGCCGATTTTTGGCGCGAAGTTTTTGTCATGCCTTAATTTGGCCATGTGTACGGCCATTCAATTTTCATTTCAGTGACGCGATAATTTTATGCCTTTGTTCTACCAGTGCAGCCTTTGATTTGTGTGCGCGAGCTGGGGTCACGGTGCGTCTCTTTCCTGTGCCACAGGTATCTCGGTTGAAAGCGGCCACACCGTCCACCCGACGCCGCCCGCCTCCATGCCGCCTCCGCCCTCCCCCGTGCGGACCAGCATCATCCCCAGCACCCCCCTCGGCACGCCGCTCGGCACGCCGCTCGGCACGCCCCTGGACGACATGAGGAGCAGCACGTACGACAACGTGCCCGCGGCGCCGGCCTCCCCGGGGTACGCGTCGTCCGCGTCGCCGACGTCCCCCGGCCACGCGGTGCAGGCCGGCCTCCACGCGCGCGCGCAGCCCTCGCACAGCGCGAGCCCCACCCCGGACCGCTCGCCGCAAGGTTGGCCTCGCATTCCATCACGTGTTTAGCTCTTGTTGCTGTTTTCATGAAGTTGTGACAAAAAATGTGTCTTCCCTTTCCTTAGACATTTGGATGGCTTCTGCGGCGGAACTGTCTGCTAGTCACGATTCCAACAGTACTTTGGCATCACAACCAGACAGTGAGCGAGAGGACAGTGAAGGAAATACCAAACACAGGTGATTAGCAGGATTTACTTGTCCTGTTAAAATCAAATTTGTATTTAAGCCCTTTGTCTTACTTGTTTCTTTTGTGTCTGTTTTTTGCTGTGTATCAGTAGAGGGACTGTCGTTCGATGGCATAGCTTCCAGCGAGGTTCCACTGGAAGACCGGATTCACTGGGGCCCACTGGGTCTGTTGGACCTTCTCCAGGAAGGGTGTCTGTTAGTGCACTGTCATGTGGTCAGCTCTTGGTTTTGAGGAAATTAGCTCTCTTGAGACTAACTGCCTGCATGGAGCGGTACTGTCCCACACACCGCACAGGCTGGAACTGGGAGCTGCCAAAATTCATCCGCAAAATTAAGGCTCCAGACTACAAAGGTACTTACATGCATTATTCTAGTGGAAAATTTCTTTCATGATTCAATTGAAAATTCTTATGACTAAAATTGTCTTGTTATTTTTACAGACAAGACAGTCTTTGGTGTTCCTCTCTTATTGTCGCTGCAAAGGTGTGGGCAAGCCCTACCTCCAGCAATCCAGAAGGCTCTGCGGTGGCTTCGGGCCAATGCCCTTGACCAAGTTGGAATTTTCCGGAAATCTGGAGTGCGATCTAGAATACAACGACTGAAAACTGCTGTTGAAACTCAAGGGGAAGATGTTTCCTTTGAGGGTCAGCAGGCATATGATGTTGCTGACATGGTGAAACAGTTTTTCCGTGAGCTTCCAGAAGCTCTTCTCACTAATAAACTATCAGAAACCTTCATTTCTATTTTCCAACGTAAGTTCTCTACAGGTTTTTTTTCCTTTCAATAATTGCTTGAGTTTAGTCGTAATAAATTTATTTTGGCTTCTTTGATTCAGATGTCCCACAAGGGGATAGAGCAGAAGCAGTTAGTTGCGTGCTGTTGCTGCTACCTGATGAGCATAGAGAAGCACTGCGAGCTCTTCTAGAATTCCTTGCAACTGTCACCACCAGAGCTGATGTCAATCAAATGTCTGCAAGCAATTTGGCTGTATGCTTGGCACCATCTCTCCTCAGACTGCATCACCATTCTCCTACATCATCATCACCTTCGTCACCTGCGGGTCGTTCAACTTCTGCCAGTCCCAGGCGGAGGAATAAAAGTATTGGAGCTCCAGATCCTAGAGAGCTTGGTGAAAACCGTGCTGCTCACGATTGTGTCCTTCATTTGATCCGGTGTCATAGGGATCTGTTTTCGGTAAGCTATCGAATTTAACTAAGATCCTCTTTGATGATCATGTTCTTTCTTGACATTTATTGTTTATAAAAGAACTCATTCATACTTATATTTCATAAATTGTCTTTTTTCATTTCAGGTCACTGAGGAAACCTTGGCACAATGCCATTTCACGTACATGGATGAAAGTGTACCTGTGGCTCTTGAGGAGCTTGGTTCTGAGTTAAGTCAGGATTGGCGGGGATATCTGCATGCATGTGTGAATGCCCTGCTTAGAGAGGCACGCGATCGGTGAGTAACAATAAGCACTATTTATTTGTTATCAACTTTTAAAAAATATTTTTTCCCACAATAACTTTATTGTTCTATTTTCCTCCTAGAAGTCGTGGGTGGGTTAGTGTGAGCGGTGGTCCAGAGCCTGCTGTTGATGTGGCATATCGCAAAGTTGGGGATGGACACCCTCTGAGGCTGTGGCGTGTTTCAACAGAAGTTGAAGCTCCCCCTGGAGAACTTCTGCAAAGAGTGTTACGTGAACGTCATTCATGGGATCAATCTCTTTTGAAGTGGCGGGTTGTCGCAAGACTGTCTGAGCAGACAGAAGTATTTCAATATGTTTGTGCTGATATGCCACCACTTCCCAACAGAGACTATTGTGTTGTGAGGTATGTACAATATTTTTATACTAAGTTCCTTGGAGTTTTCTCAATAGTTTTTAATATACTGTGATTTCATGTTGCTTCCTTATTGTTTTACAGATCCTGGAGATCAGATTTGCCTAAAGGGGCATGTGTAGTGGTTGAAACTTCCGTGGAGCATGTGCATGCACCTCTCCTTCCAGGTGGTGTTCGTGGCATTGTTTTGGCAAGCCGATACCTCATTGAGCCTTGCGGGTCTGGAAAATCTCGCATAATGCATCTTTCTAGAGTTGATACAAAGTAAGCTGCACGTTTCCATGCCAAATTCCAACTCATCACTCCTTTATCCTTGATGCTTATTTTTGACATACTGATTTTTTTTCCTGCAGGGGTCGAACACCTGAGTGGTACAATAAAAGCTATGGACACCTTTGTGCCCAGCATCTTGCCAGGATCAGAGCATCTTTCCGACACAATGCAGAGGGACCTGAAAGCAAGGTCTGACTGTTAGCCCCGGCCCTGTCGACGTCCCAGTCTTGGGATTGCTCACAGGGCCACTCACCCTCGCAGTCCCCAGCCCGCTCTGTGAGTCGAGCCCAGAGCTGCTCCCCAAATCACTCACCATGCCATTCCTCTAGCCGCTCTGATCTCCTTCAAGTAGAAGAGGAAAGCAGTGATTTGTCAGACTAGGCTGACTAGATTGAGAAACATTTTTATTTGTCAAGCATTGACATGTTCTATGATACAGTTGTGCATCCTTTGTATGCAGGCATTATCTCAATCTTTGTTGAAGTGATTGATTGTGGTATGGAACAAAATGTGAAAAGAGTGCATGTTTGTACATTATGAGAGTTACTCTGTTCGTGTACAAATTGTAGAGGTATTCTTTTAAGTGCTAGGATTAGGTCTAATCAGTCTATACAAACCTTAACAACTGAGAATCGCAAGGTGATGCTCAAGTCACACCCATCCATACCATTTAGTTCACTTACACTACATTAATTATCTCAGTGTCTGCTTTCCTCCATGTGATTTTAGCATAGTAATTAAGTTTATTATTGTTGCATATCTTAAAAGTTTATTTGTAAATTTTATTGGAAGAAATTCTGAATTTGTGTGTATGAAACCTGTGTGAAGATTTATATAGTTATTGTAATTGTCATCTTAATTTTTCCCAAAGGATGTGTGTTGTGGGTATTAAAATTTGTGAGCAGTGGAATATATAACCATATTTGCCAGAACCAAAAATTTTTTGTCTGTAGGTAATTGCCATACCTACTTGTTTTAGTTGTTTTTAAAATGTTTTAATGTACTCCCTGTTAAAGTATAAGATGTGGTGCAAATGAACTTCCAGAATTCAGGGTGTTCATCAGTAAGCTAGTCACAAAACACAGTAAGAACTTGTCCTGTTATTTGATTGTTGTAATTTTTTTTTTAGTAGCTCAGGGATGTGAAGGATTGAGAAAAATATAAACAAGTGTCACTGTGTGAAAATATTTGAGTGGGACCATAGCTGAGTCATCAAAAGAGATTGTGCTAAAGTGATGATTTTTCTTTTCAATGTCATTTAACTTTTTTTGCCCGAATGACAGGTGAATTTTGAATGTGAATTTCAGTTCTCTCCAAAGCATTTAATAGTATGTTGTTGTTGTTGTTGTTTCTTTAGGGATTTTTGTCTTTTAATGCATTCACTTACCATTCCTCATCAGTTTTGTAACTTTTTAAAATGTGTGTTCATGAGTACCTCAGTTTTTGATATATTTTTATTTAAAGTAAAAAAAAAAAGAATGTTTTGAGACCGAATGTCTGCATTTCTTTTCTTCATTTTTTTGTCAAGTCTGGAAAACACAATGGTGTAAAGACCAAGTGTAAACCTTTCACTAAAATCATTGTATTTATCTATTTTTCATAAATGCATTAAAAATATTTTGTATCAGTGACTTGGGGCGTTTTTCTACCCTTTTTTTCTTAATCACGATGTGCAATCTAGAAACACGATATTCGAAAAGCAAAGAAGCACTCGCAGCACCTGTCTAAAACGCCGTGACATAGGCAACCCATTACACACACGTACACGTACGCGCCAGCTTAGGCAACCCAATTTACACTGTACCCGCACGACCTGTGTGTGCGGCGCAAATGCCGTTCGGAGTGGAGAACGTCAAAATTCCACTACTGGAAGCCTCATTGCCGATTATGATCACCGCGCTGTTAAAACTCTCGCGCTCCAACCCAGAGACACACTTGATATCTGTGTAAACAATATGGCCTTGAAGGCGCGGGGAGCGTCGTTCGTTGGTTCCCGTCGATAGGGCAAATCAATACAGAACGAAACTGCAGATGTCCTGAATGAGCTACAAACATCTAATAATGGGAAGGAGAGCTGTTGCTCAATCTTCCCCTTCCTTTGTTGTTGTTTTTCATTCTTTCAATTTTAACGTCGACGAAAGTAGGCTACAACAGCTGATACGCGAAAGGGCGCGGAACAACTAGGATATCCGTACAACACAGGCAGGGGTGCTTCTTTCACCAACTCCAAAAAGAGACAAAGAGCATCAAAGTCACTCTGACTTGTGTCTTACTTGTGCACAAACTTTGAATGAAATACTCTCATTTGTATTTCTTCAAACTAAGAAGGAGAATTTCCGACCACAAGCCGTAAAATTCACAATGTCTTTATTGATTGTCAACTAAGTCTGTTGGCAGCCATGCGCGACGCGCACAGCCACCAAACTTCGTAATCAACATGGCGATATTGTTAAAGTATGTTGTGTACGCAGTAGTTGTGCCGATTTGTTCACTGTTCACTTGTTCACAATCTTGTTAACTGCAGTTTTGCGGTGCAGTCCTCCTTCACTCCAGCCCGTGAACGCTAGCTTTTCAGTTTTGGATTATGTGTTAAGGGCTGCGTACAGGTAAATACCCTTGCGGAAGTCGTACTTGCCTACTCAGCTGTGAGGGGGTGTTGTCATCTGCAGTGTTGTAGGTTATAGATCTACGACTTAAATTATTACCGAATCATCTTGGAGAAAGGTTCAGTACTGACATTATTAATTTCTATTCAGGAAAAAGCGTTTTCAAAAGAACCCGTGATTAACCTCTACTTTATAAAATTCCCATGTACACTGATAGTTTTTTTTCAGTGAAATTGTTTTGCTATTGTTTGTTCATTTATTTCGTGCTAATTGGACAAAAGGCAGCATTCATAATCACATTATTTTTATCCTTTAGTAACCTTCAACGCTTTTGAAGTCCGCCAAGATGTTAAAAAATGGCAGTTTTGTGTCTCATATTCATGTTCGAGTGTCGCACTTCTTGTGTTGTCACTTTGTTTTATCTTTGCACAGACTCGGTTATATTTGCTACAGAACACTGCCTTATTGGTCATTTGAGTCTTGCTGTCTTTCCAGTTATGAATGTCCTGCCAATCAATTGCCCATGTCGAACCCATTCGGTACACTCTTACCGCTTGTATATCATTTATCAGCATAATCTGTGTTCAAACCTGCCAAGATTTATCTGAGCAACTATGGTCAGACTAACCCACTCTAGTTTCATTGATTATTATTTTGCAGAGTTTGATTGTTATACACAAACTTTACATCAAATGCAGAACAATGTCGGGTGCTGCTCAGAAGGGCAGAGGTAATTGTTCAATCTTTCAAAAGAACTTAATTAGTTGTAATTTCTTATCTTTGTAACTTACTCCATCTTTTTTATGTGACTCCAGGTCGTCTCTCCCGAAGTAAATCTTGCACATGGTGTGCAGAAAAAGGCCTTTCTTTAAATTTCATTTTCCCTGCTAGAAATGGGCAAAAGGAGTTCTGTTCTTCCGTCTGCCTTGCAGAATTTCGCAAAGCTTATAACAAGGTAAGATATGTTCACACTTTACTTTGGTGGTTTTTCTCCTGCATTTTATCTTATCCCCCTAATGATTTTTCTGACACCCAGGGCTCATGTTTGTATTGTGATGCTGTAATTAATGGTGCACCAGTATGTCTGGATGGAAATGCATCAAAGCACTTCTGCAGCCAAAGCTGCCTGGACAAATTTGTCAAACGAGAAAACAGTACTAAATGTAAGTGCAAATCTGGGACGCAAATTAAAGTCTTATTTTGTTATGTACAACTTTGACGCGAATACAACTAATTTTCCCACCTTTTTATTTTTTAAGTGAGCAATGGGTCATCAGGATCTACACCAAATGGTAATGCTACTGCTGTGGCACCTTCTACACCAACAGTCTCTTCGACAGTCCTGCCTGTAGCTTCACCTGCTGCATCAGCAGTGTCTGTATCATCAAATGACGACTCTGTTGGTTCTGCTGATCCCAAAGGAAATAACATCCCATTAGAGTTGGAAACTAAACCAAACCATCAAACTGCAGACACAGGATTAACATTTGCCAATGTGCCAAGTCCCAATATGAGTGCCTATGAGCCATTTGATTGGAAAAGCTATATGAAGGAATCAAATAGCCAGCCTGCCCCTGCTCATTGTTTTAAGCAGGTTTGAAATTTTTTCCATTCTTTCCTCCTACCTTTCTTTTCCAAGGAGAGAGATTTTTTATTTCTATTGTTCCACATTGCAGTCACCAACGCCTCCACAAAATGATTTTAAACTTGATCAAAAACTGGAAGCTCTAGACCCTCGAAATCTAACATCGACATGTATTGCAACTGTGGTTGGAATTTTAGGACCACGCTTAAGATTGCGCTTGGATGGATCAGATAATAAAAATGATTTCTGGCGATTGGTGGATTCCAATGAAATACATCCAATAGGTCACTGTGAAAAAGGTGGAGGGATGCTTCAACCTCCATTAGGTGGGTTTACTTCTTCATGGTTGTTTTCCTTAATTCTGTCAATAAATGCCATTGATTCCAATATTTTTGTTGTTACAGGTTTCCGTATGAATGCGTCCATGTGGCCACAGTTTCTAGTCAAGACACTCGGCCTGGCTGTTATGGCCCCTCATAAAGCATTTAAACGGGAACCTCCCTCTCCTGGTACCAATCATTTTCAAGTTGGCATGAAACTAGAAGCTGTGGACAAGAAAAACCCCATGCTCATATGCACAGCCACTGTGGGTCAGTACACTTCATTTTTCAACTTTTGATCACAATGACACTTGATTTTTGAATTTACAGCAACTTCTCTCTTTTGGTTTAGGTGAAGTAAAGAACGAATTAGTACACGTGACTTTTGATGGTTGGCGAGGTGCATTTGATTACTGGTGTCGCTATGATTCAAGAGACATATTTCCTGTTGGCTGGTGTGCTAAGAGTGGACACCCTTTACAACCTCCTGGAAAGAAAGGTAATCTTAGCCCCTTTTTAATGTGCTTGACAATTGTGTAATTCCTAATTAAATTTAGGAGAATGTGTTCTGATCTTGCCTTATTGTGCCTTGCAGCTCAAGGTGGCACAAACCGATACCGCGCGCGCACCAGTAATGTACAACCTACAACCATGGTGCCAGCAGTAACAGAGTCTGATGAGAACACGCCTCTATCAGTCAGGAAAGAGCAGTCCAAAACGCCAAGCACTGTGGGATCTCCCACAAGTCCTAATCCTCCATCCACTCCTGTGTCTCCGAACACAGCCTCTGTTTCACCAGTCTTAAAAGCCTCTCCACCCATGAAGCCAAATCAAATTATTCCTAGTGCAGTTTCTCCTCCGACAAAACCTGTGACACCCCCTAGTAACATTCAAGTAACCCCGCCAGAAAATTCACAGAATTTGGCTTCAAAACAAAATACAGTTGTCCCACCTGGTGCACCATCTGGTGCACCGTCTGGTGCACCGTCTGGCAATGTATTGCCAGATAGCCTTCCTTCACCCTCTCAAACCAATGGTGTTGCATCTACTGTCAACTCAAATCTTGTTTCGTCGTCACAGCAAAGAAATGATAATGAAGGTGCGCAAATGTGTAGAAATTTTGAGATCATTTGGATTTTATTTTTTTGCGGAACTGGACATAATTTTATTTTTGGTATACTTTCAGTTCGAATATATGTTAATTCTACATGCAAGACAGGACCCTATATGGACAAGGAACGTGTGCGGAAAATGCCCTCTGTATTTGGTCCTAGTGGTCTGAAGGGAGTGCTCCGAAATTGTGTTCAGTCATTGGTGGATGCAGCTTCTGATCGAAGTGCAATTTATGGCATGTTACGGCAAGGGCAAGGCAAAGTTCTCATTTCTGGTATGCACTGATAATGTTTTCATTTTTATCGTGAATTTCAAACTTTTCTTTTGATTTATTACAAATAGTGACTTTAAATTTTGTATTAATTTGTCTTTGGCAGTTCCTCTGGAAACACAAACTGTCAAACTGCGCTTGCCAGTTATTCCAACCGAATTGGAACTGTGGACATTTCTAGAAATTTTGACTGAAGAAATGCAATGCTGTTCAAATTTTTTAACCAGAGAACCTACTGTTTGTGAACATTGTGCTTCCTCCAACCAAGGTATGTTTCCTTTTTTTAGTTTTTTAAGCAGTCAGTTTGATATCCATATAAAGGATACTAATATTTACTTGGTTTTCTTTTTATTAGATGATGAGGCCTTAAGAACATCTCAGAAACGGAGATTCTCAGCGCAGACCTCTGAACCTGTCAACAACAAGAGAGCTAATCTTATTCAACCCAAAGGTTTGGCTGGAAGTAATCAGACAAGTCCAATCCCTCCTCAACATTCTGCTCGATCGTCACCTACAGTGGCTGCTGCTCCAGTTGTTCGTCATGCCTCACCAGGTAATATGCACTTTCCAGGCATTGCATTTTTTGTCAGGCTCAAACATCAGCCGTAGCAGTTGTTGGAAAACCTTGTTGGACACTAAAAAAAATTTATTTTATAGCCCAAGTTGCTGCAACCTCTACTACAGCAAATGATGAGCAGTCAGCTCCAAGAACTCTACCAACTGAAGCTATCGAATGGACCATAGAAGATGTGATTTGGTACATTACATCAACTGATCCAAACATGGCTGTGTATGCTGACCTCTTCCGAAAACATGTAAGTTACTTACTCTTGGTGATATGTTACTTCTATTTCATGCGTGGTAGGTTTATCACAATGTCTGTGTCTTGTTTTTTGTTTATTCAGGAAATTGATGGCAAAGCACTTTTACTCCTGAACTCAGATATGATGATGCAATATATGGGCTTAAAACTAGGCCCTGCCCTTAAAATTTGCAACTTGGTTCAAAGAGTCAGCCGATCAAGGGGTCGAACCTGTATGTTTAGGTGAAATATACTACAGTAGTTCCTGTCATAACTATTTGTTTGCATTGTCCCATCGTGCGCCTGATTGCGGCTCCAGCATGTTCTTGTTCTTTGTTTTCTTAAATCTATAACTGTACATAGGAACAGTATACAGTACTATCACTGTTATCGGTAGCAGGACTTGTATGTCTGTCTATGAAAATTTAATGGTTTGCCCTTCTCTAGACTAATTCTGCTGAAGTTTTAGAGTACCTGCTACTACACAAATTTAAGCCAATAGCAATGCCTATTGCAAGGAGCATTGCTTTGTTACTGACATTATAATTGAAAATTATGCATGCAGCTGTCTTACTGAGTCAAAAAAGCAACCTCCAAAGTTAACAATTTTGTGGTCCTCCTGTCTATTTTGTATAGGCAATACCCATTCTTTTTTTCCCCTGATCTATGAAATTAGTCAACTATGTCGTGTCTTTGATAATGAATTAAATTTGTTGTTGACGCAATTTCTGGTCCAGGCATTGATCATGTTAAAAATCAAAGTAGCTGTTTATTTTTATAACAATGCCTCTCAAATGTTTATTCACGTCATCTTACGAGTGAATATAGCCCTGTAAATTACCCCTACAGCTTATTTGTGATCTACTGTTTATTTCTCATAAAGAAGTTAATGTGGCTGTGTTGTTGTAAACCCATTCCTTGTGTGTATAAGTATTTTCTGTGTAGATGTCACTGTGCTACACAAGTAGAAATAAATGTTTTGTTGATCTTTTTTATTTTATTTAGAGAAAAATGTTTCAGTACTGTTTACCATTGAAAAATTATACTAACATACTGTGTGATTCGGGTAAGTTTGGCCAATACAATAGGATGGCAGGAAGACCCTTCAACAAACATTTTTCTTATTTGGACCTATGGATGCAAACGCCTTTGGACAGAGCTAGTGGGTTGTGTGCAGGGCCTCACAGGATGACGCTGTGTTCAAGGGTGTGTCCTGGATCTCTCCAAAACAATCAAGGCTGCTAGATGCAGACAAAAAAAGAATAAATGTAAAGCAACCTTTGGTAACATGTGTTGGGACTGTTTGTGCTCATAGGTCCCAATGTGAAAAGTGCTTGTAGGGCTCCTCCTTTCACCCTTATTTTGGCCCAACGAACTAGAATCAACCTGTATTGCCCAATCTTATGTACAGTAGTTGCGGGAAATTGTAAATCATGTATGAAGACTGTGAAGAGTTGTTTAAGTCATCTGCACAAGCAGGCGAATGGATTATGCTGATTGTTGACACGGAAGGTTCCATTTGTTTGTTGTAGCTGTATTTTTTTAAGATATTGTTAAGCCCTATGCGAGCTCTAGAGAATGGATAATGTTGGGTATGGATTCTTTGCTTATGGCATGTTTAGACAAGGAAGTTTCCTTAGTACCTGGCAAAACTTGTAATTAGATCATTCTTCAAAGTGTTTTAACTCTCTAGTTTTTCGTACTACAACACCTTGGAGAAGTGCGGATACAGTCTTCTGTGATGTGTATGAAAAAAATAAAGTATGTGGGTAGCTGTGATTGATTTCCATTCAATGACCTTCCCGTTCCAGGAGACGGTACGAGCAAGTAGAAGCAAAGTACGAGTATAATTTTGGGCGGTTCAGAACGAGTGTTTCATTGGCTCAGAGGGCATAGGTGTTGACCGCTCTGGGAGAGGACCTGGGTTCGACTCCCAGGCGTGGCTATAGGGTGATAAGATGAGCCATGGGATCAAAACGGAACGCCCAAGGCATGCCAACATTTTCCTCGGTTTTCTTCTCACTATCAGAGTAAGATTGAACGAAGCCACAGTAAGTGTCCCCGTGGCTCGGGCGTTTGAGGTCTTACGCTGCCAGAACGGTTCAGGATCGCGTCCCAGACGCCGAAATCTTTTCTTCATTTTATCGATCGAACCCGGAACCTGAGTTCGTGGCGGGATCAATCGGGGCGCCATGCCATGGTGGCTGAGTGGTTTGAGGTGCCGGCCGGCCTGATGAAGAGATGGTTCGATCCCCAGTCTCTTCAATATTTTCTTCACTTTAGCGCTTTGATCGGATACAAGAGCGCGTTTCGGTCCAGCCACTAACAAGCAACCTCGTGGCTGAGTGTGCTAAGGCGTTGGCCGCCACAAGGAGGATATGGGTTCAAATCCCGGCATCTCCAAAATTTTCGTCCGTCTAACGCTTCAATCTGGTAAAAAGGCGTCGTGTTTCGGGCGACGAAATCACAAGTGGCTTCGTGGCTGAGTGGTCTAAGGCGTGGAACGTCACAGGGAAGTCCTGGGTTCGACTCCAAAGTGGTACATTCTTTTCCCGAGTTTACTTCCCAAACCTTGTACAATCACACTAAGAATAGGTGGCTGTAACCGATGTGTTACGGTAGCTCAGTTGGTAGAGCATTGGATACGTGGCAGGAGGACCTGGGTTCAACTCCCAGGGAAGTCAAGAGGCAAGGTTCACGTGCGAAGTGGCGCGGGAAGCACTCGGGTTCAAATCCCGGGGTAATCAAGAGGCAAGGCTCACGTGTCAGTTGGCACGGGAAGCACTCGGGTTCAAATCCCGGGGTAGTCAACAGGCAAGGCTCACGTGTTAGTTCGCACGGGAAGTACTCGGGTTCAAACCCCGGGCAAATCAAGAGGCAAGGCTCACGTGTCAGTTGGCACGGAAAGAACTCGGGTTCAAACCCTGGGCAAATCAAGAGGCAAGGCTCACGTGTGATTGTGCACGGGAAGCACTCGGGTTCAATCCCCGGGCAAGTCAAAAGGCTGGTCTCACGTGTCAGTTGACACGGGAAGGGAAGCGCACGGGTTCGATACCCGGGCAAGTGACAGCGCGAGGGGTAATTGTGGGTGGGCACGCGAAGAACCTGGGTGCAACACTCAGGCACATCAAGTGGCAAAGAACATGAACTGTCGCCCGCCATTAGAAAATTTTGGATTCAAACCACAACCATATCATGCGAAGTTATAACTGTCGGCAGATATGTTCCAAATAAAACTCCGATGCACTGGACAAAATTAAAACTAGCCTGCAAGGCGTTCACATCTATGTAATACGTTTTAAACTTTCCCCTTTTTTTGGTCTAAAAAAATGAGCTTTGAGTACTTTATCACGACGCGATTATATATAACACTTATGTGTCTCGTATTTATTTCTGGGCGTCGTGAGTTAAACCCGACGTTTAAAAATCAAATTCTAAATTTTGAGTGAAGTGAAATTCACTGACGTACGACGGCTACTTTGTTCATTGGACGGGTTGAAGTCAATCATTCCGTGAACAGATCGACACGACGACTTGATGGTTGTATCATCCTTTGTCGGGCGACAGCTGCAGCTTGCCTCTCGATGTGCCTGGCAGTAGACCCCAGATCCTTTTCGTACCGGCCGACGCGGCGTGCCTCTTTCCTCTTGATATGCCTGGGAGTTGAACCCAGGTTCTTCGCGTGCCAACCGACACGTGCTCCTCGCCTTTTGACTAGCCCGGGAATCGAACCCGTGTACTTCCTGTCGCATGTCATCCGACACGTGAGGCCTGCCTTTTGACTTGCCCGGGGTTTGAACCCGAGTGCTTCCCGTGCCAACTTACACGTGAGCCTTGCCTCTTGATTTGCCCAGGGTTTGAACCCGAGTTCTTTCCGTGCCAACTGACACGTGAGCCTTGCCTCTTGATTTGCCCGGGATTTAAACCCGAGTACTTCCCGTGCGAACTAACACGTAAGCCTTGCCTATTGACTACCCCGGGATTTAAACCCGAGTACTTCCCGTGCCAACTGACACGTGAGCCTTGCCTCTTGATTACCCCGGGATTTGAACCCGAGTGCTTCCCGTACCACTTGGCACGTGAACCTTGCCTCTGGACTTCCCTGGGAGTTGAACCCAGGTCCTCATGCCACGTATCCAACGCTCTACCAACTGAGCTACCGTAACACATCGGTTACAGCCACCCATTCTTAGTGTGATTGTACAGGGTTTGGGAAGTAAACTCGGGAAAAGAATGTAACACTTTGGAGTCGAACCCACGACTTCCCGGTGACGTTCCACGCCTTAGACCACTCAGCCACGAAGCCATTTGTGATTACGTTGCCCGAAACACGACGCCTTTTTACCAGATTGAAGCGTTAGACGGACGAAAATTTTGGAGAACCTGGGATTTGAACCCATATCCTCCTCGTGGCGGCCAACGCCTTAGCACACTCAGCCACGAGGTTGCTTGTTAGTGGCTGGACCGAAACGCGCTCTTGTATCCGATCAAAGCGCTAAAGTGAAGAAAATATTGAAGAGACTGGGGATCGAACCATCTCTTCATCAGGCCGGGCGGCACCTCAAACCACTCAGCCACCATGGCATAGCACCCTAACTGATCCTGCCACGAACTCAGACTGATGGTTCCGGGTTCGATCGATAAAATGAAGAAAAGATTTCGGCGTCTGGGACGCGATCTTGAACCGTTCTGGCAGCGTAAGAATCGTTATCCTCCTATCCTTACATCGCGCCGGTTAGGTAGGCCACCCTTTTGACGCCTCACAGGGATGACGTGGAAAACAATACAAAGGTTCGACTCCCAGACGCGACGGTCTGTATTCACGCGTATTGTCCGCGACGTGCCAAAAGGGTGGCGTACTTTCCCGGCGCACTTCTCTGAACAATGCCATTTTTTTTTTTCATTGGAAGAGAATTTATCTGAACGGCTCAACATTAACAGCGGCTTATTGAGGAGTACTTGTGAGTTCCTCATGGGCGCAGAAAGAAAAGGGTGGAAAAAGGGGGGACGGGGGGCGGGGGGGGGAATTGGCTGGGACATGTCTAATGAAATATTTACCTAACACAGCATACATTAAAACTAGCATGTGCATCAGCGGTATAACATGAACTAAACGAGCTGTCAGTCAGTGAATTCTGGGGATTAGAAGCTAAAGCATATTTCGGTACAGATCTCAACATAACTGCTATTGGCTCGCCATCGTTGGAAGCAGGGGATAGGACGCAGCCAATGCCCTACCTTCGAGCAAGTTCCCAATGTTAACTTTTGCCCTCCTCCCGACCTGTCACTGGATCCATCCTTAAATTAAGTGCAACGCAGCTCGTAGAAGAAAGAAATGGCCTCGGCCACCTCTCTTTTCCCCCTCCTCTTAGGCTCATGTTTCAATATAAGATGCCACTGGAAACGGGGGTCAGAGTGAGAAGGGCTGTGGCTGTGCAACTCCCAAGAGCAGTGTCTTGGCAATTCCTCTTACTCACTACATACAAGGCCAGACTTTTAAAGATTATGGTTCATAGTGCAAGAAAATCTTTATCTCAAGTTGGTAAAGAAAATGATTTGATTATGAATGGTAGAGCAAAAAGTTGCACCTGACCTAGAAGCTTTAAAAATGAAGCACATTGAAATAAAAATGTAAACTAATTCACTGGGCATTCCCAAAGTGATTTCATGAATAAATGACAAAATCAAGAAAAACTCCAAAGCTTTATATTAAGACATTTATTACATTATATACATTATGCAGCTAGTAGGATGGCTGAGAGCCCTTCGGCACTTGTTTGTCTTCAGTCGTCGGGGATACCATCCAAACCCTTGGAAAGAAAGGAAGTGTCAAAAACCATATCAAACAAAACACGATTCAATATAGTGCTTTTATAATTGCTCACAATAATGCTAAATTGACACCAACAATAGAAACGTGAATACAGAATCAAAATTATGCTAGTGAGCAAATGCAGCTGTAACAAGTTAAGGAAAATCAACACATCAACACATCAACAGACCGGAACGGTTCGGGGATGGCACAATAGGACTAAAACCAAGAAATATTTTGAAGAAATTGAGTACTTAAGTCAGCCTAAGACATTTGTTACTATAGTTTTGACAAGGGCTACCGTAAACCTTACTCCAGACCAGCCCTGATCCGTGGATCTGTTGATGTGTTGATCTGTTGATTTTCCTTAACTTGATACAGCCTGCATCTATGATCACATTTCACGTAGAGAGATAAGCGTATCAACTCACCAGATTTTTGCCTTGTCTGAAGGGGTCTTTGCCATTCAGGACCCTCTCGTCACGGAAAATGTGGTAGTAATGGTACTGACCAGTTATATTACGTCCATGAATCTGTGAGACAGATTGGAACAGAATTTCTATGTTAGATAGCACCTCATGAAGATAAAGGGCTTCTCAAAAGAGAATTAAAGACTTCATTATTGTAATAGGTTATAGGAATGTCACCATTAGAAACAACCTCAGAAAGAGAAAGAAACAACAACAGAGACTCTGTTGTGAAACCAAGCCACATTTAGAGATACAGATACTGAAAAATGTTCACATTCTCTTCAAATATTGGAACATGAATTACAGAAAACAACATTATGCAGAAGGGCATTCACTGTACTTACAGATCCAGTATAAAGATAGGCGTAGGTACATGTGAAAGCTATCGGTGCATACAGACAGCCACCGGTAATAAGCCAAGAAGGTAAAATGTTCCACCACATTTTACTGCCTTTCGCGTTGGAGCCAAATAGAAGTACAACCCCCTTCTGAGCACAAAATCTATCCACCGAGGCTTGCTGGTAGTAAAGCCCTGGTAGCAGACGCACGAAGACCACCTTCCTGCCCTGTGCTGCTCACCTCTTTGAGGTATGAAAAATTGCACAGGCGCAAAAACTTGCATGTTACAACGTTCCAACTTATTAAATTTAGAAACGACAGGTTTTGCTCCTCAAATAGAGTGAGCCTATTGTTGCATGCGGTTCATTCGTTTGCCCTTAAGTTGAACTCCTCGAGCCCTGACTTCCTCTCTCAAATCCTACCACCCCCCTTCCCCTCTCCCTGCTCTCTCTCCCTCGAGCCCCTCAAGCTTCCGATGAAAAACGAGCCCATCAATCAACATCATTCCTGTTAAAAAATAGTACATTCTGTTGTTAATCACTGAAGTGAGGCAGAATCATTTCCAGTTGTGGCACCTCGTTATTTTTAATTTGAATTGTCACAACTGATTTCTGATAAGCAATGGCAGAGGATCTACAGAGTAATTTACAAAATTATCAGCTGCAACTACAGCAGGTAATGTTATGTTGCTTATATTTTCTGTTTCTTAATTTGTTGTTGATTCAAGAAACTACCTTGTATCTCAGCATTACCTGTTTCTCTGGTTTCTACTGCTCTTTTATTGAAATTATATAATGTGAATGTGAGCATATTCTAACCTCTGGATCATGTCACTTTCAACTTGTTTGTTTTGTTTCTTCTGTTAGGTTGAGGCAGCCCTTTTAACAGACCCTTCAAATGAAGAACTCATGAAATTGAAAACCGATCTTGAAGAAGTTATAGAACTTACTACTGACTTAATTAAAACACAACTCCTAGAATCTGCTGGTATATTTTTCTTTTGCATCTCTGAATTAATATGTTGATTTATAATTGGTTTCCTTTCAGGAATGAACATTTACCTGTTCTTTTGTTTTCCTTCAATTCAGGCTCAAGTACTGATAAGGAAGTCTCTAAATCCTCCAAACCAGTTTTTGCAACTGAAAGTCCAGAAGCTCCAAGTACTAGCAAGAAACAATGGAAAGTGGGAGACAAGTGCTTAGCGATATGGAGTGAAGATGGACAGTGAGTATTAAAGACCTTCAAATCTGATTTTCTGTCGTAGATGAACTTCTGTGGGTATCCATCAGAATCGTTTTAACTGTCATTGAAGGTTGTTTTCTTGTTTGCAGGTATTATGAGGCAACTATTGAAGAAATTACTGCTGAGAAGGAGGAAGTCTCAGTCATCTTTGATGCTTACAAAAATGCGGATGTTACTAATATTAACCTTCTGCGTGAAGTGTCAAGTGGAGACCCGAATGATAAGAACAAGTGAGTGGCATTGTTTTTTTATTTCTGCATTCTCATGTTCTTAAAGTGTAGGCCTTGTTTGAAGTTAAAAGAACAATTCTATTCCTGTTTCTTTTTAAAAAAAAGAAAGTAACAAAAAATGGCATTGCTTTTGTTGCAGAAAGCACACACTATCCAAGCAAAGAGAATATCAAAAGAAGAAGAAACAAAAGAAGATTCAAAGATTCCAGGAACTTGAAGAAGCCAGAGAAACAGAGAAGAACAAATGGCTAGCATTTGCAACTAAGGTAGACAATTGTCATGATCTCTTCTCTTTTAACTTTTACTCAAGTTGTTTAACTTTTTTTTATGTGTGTTTCAGAAAAAGGGTGGCTGCTTAAAGAAAAGTATCTTTGCATCACCTGAGTCAACATCTGGTAGAGTTGGTATCGGTACATGTGGTATTGGTGGTAAACCTATGACTGAATTCACATCAGCTGAAAAATGGAGAAAAGGTGTTTAAAATCTACTATATTTGAATGCATCAAAATAGGTAACTCTCCTCTCCTGTTTCAAAATAAAAGGGGGGGGGGGAGATTAAAACAAGGAAGTTTACAACGCAGCCTGTCCTGAACATTCTTCGACATCAAAGAATAATTTTGGAAACTAAGAACATCTATTTTAGAGATATGATTAGGCTCTCTCAAAACTGAAACTCCTCCTGAATCGTTCAATTCCTATTCATGAAATATTATTTCATTTGTAAATATAAAAATTACAATTTGTCTAAATTTAAGGTTTTTCTTTAATGAATGGAAACTTGGTGTAAGCTAACACAAACCTCAATCAAAGGTCTTGTGGCTACAAATTTCGCATGTTACATGGATTTGGTCACATGGGCACCTCTTATTTGCTAGATTATTTCCACCCCTTTAAATGTAAAGAAAGTGATAACCAAACAGGAAAATAAAATCATTGAATAAAAAATGTAAAACCCAAACTGTGTTGAGGAACAATGTCCATAAATGTAGATGTTAACCTTTTCATTCAAAACATCCAACAACAATTACAGTTACCCAACAATAAAATTGGCAGAAAAGTTATCTTACTGCAATAATACTCTGCCAAATCTTCAATCGGCTGGATACAGCTAATGTGCGGCAAGTTCTTAGCTTAAGACCAAATTAACACTAAAGTGAAAAATATGAATCTGCTCACTTGCATCAAAAAGTTAGTTCTACATCTTAAAGTAAAAGGTTGACAAAATGCCAGGCACCTGAACAGGAATGGTTTGTAGATTCACAAAAGCAGGAAGCATATCCATTTCACAGGGAGCAACCTAGTGCTACTGTCAGGAAGTCTTCGAATCCAATGGTTATCGTCCCCGTCTGATCCTTGTCACGTACACGGAAGGCCTCTGCAACAAGACAAAAGGCAATATATCACTTTAAAGTTTTAATTATTGGGCCACATAAGTGACACTTGAGCCCTACAAATGAGTGAACTGATAAAAGGCACACAGCTGCCACAAATTTTCTTATCTTGTTAGGAGTGGCTAATGTGTTATAATTAAGTAGAAAAGTTGCAAATCACGCTTACTGTATTTCACAAAACATCAGGTAAAAATTTTACAGAATTTCAACAGGAACAAATAACAACTCAGCTAATAATGTGTCCTGACTTAGAAAAACGAAGTTTCTATGCTGGGATTTACACAATAAAATTCTGTTAAGTAAGTAACAACTTATCTGACAACAACAAATCTAACTAACACATAAAACAGGGCCCCTGTCGCAATACTTGATTCTGTCCTCGGAATAGTACAATCAAAGATGGGCATTCATCATGTTTTGAAAACTAAACATGACAAGAAATACAACAAAAACTTAAAAGATTTGGAAGAGTTTCTATTATAGGCACAAAAATAGACTGCAAAAATAAATATAGATTTACATGAACAATATCACAGTGCACTATGAAGAAATCAACTTGTGCTAAGATCAGTCAATATATAGGAAAAGTCAATTTACTTGAAACTAAATTTATTACCCTTGAGGCCCACCTACATTGTCTCTGCCCTGCCTTTCCATCTCCCTTGTGGTGGCTGAAGCTCACAATGATAGATTTAGAAACGCTATGTGCACATACTTCAAAAGGGTTCATTCTACATATTTACAGAATGGTGCAGCAATTTCACTGAGCCAAAAAAAAAAAATAACTAGCAAGGGAGAAATCTTTTCCAGGTACACAAGTGTCAGTTTCAATTTTACTTAAACTGCAAAGCTATAGTAGCATAAAATAAATAATTGACTGTCTCACTCATAGGGCTTTTACCTATGGCATGCCTTGTCTTTACAATCTAAATTCAATTAATTACATTGTGCCGCACAAGTTAAAAATGGATAAAACAACAAAAATAATGGTCATTTGAACATAAAAGGTAGTTGAAATGGTAACTAAAACATAGATGTGGTGTATCATTGAGTGACACATGTAAACATGTAAAATAGGACAGAAGAAGGCGCTTCACTGACGCACTCCTTCTCTCTGTGTTGAGCAACATGACGAAAGTCGCAACAATTAAACTAAAGCTAAAGTACAGTAAATACTTACTTGATTAAAGTACTAGAATTGATATATTTGGCATATGGATATGGCAGACTCTTTGATTTTAACTTAGAATTCAAAATGAATGGCCCAAGACACAAAATGCAAAATAAGGAAGACTTAAGCCACTTTTGCTCAGTCAGTGAAAATGGCACTACCACATTTATTCAATTATAACACTATGTGCTTCTTTGAATGGGAGGTTTGCTCTTATGAACCTTTGTAACATCTCTCAAAATTGGAGTGCCTTTGATTATAGTGCCACTTAAATTTGTCAAATACAGTAATTAGAATGCTGCCATTCAACACTAATAATACGAACTTTAAGATCTTCATCATTGCAACACTTCTTACTAGGGATAAGATGAAAAATATTGCCATGAGAACTAACTAGTGTCAGAGGGATCACTTTTAGAACAAGGATATTTTGTTACATGCCCCAATTCTGGTTCACTAGATATGTCACTAGGTGATGATTGAGCTACAATAGGGAGTGCAGATAGAGCTGCAACAATATTTTTGTATCTTGAATAGCCTTTGTGTTGCTCTCCGGGTTCCCCCGCGTCCACAGCCGCGGCTTGAGCTTTGTATTTTGCGATGTTTCTGAGTTCTGATAGTCGAGTATTCATCTGCTTTTTTATAGTTGTATTTTCTTCCACTTTCCATCCATTTTGTTCAGCATGATATCTAGCATACTCTGTAAAAAGCAAAAAAAAAAAAAAAAAAGGGTGAAATTGTAGACAAAAATTACATGATTCCAATAATTTCAAGAGTAATATCTGAATAGTAATACTTACTTAAAATGGATTCGACTGCAGGTCTGTACAAAGAAGGTCTTTGAACATCAGGCTTTCCATAGGGACCTTTTGCAACATTTCCTTGTACAGAGCATGACAGCAAATAGGGCATTTTGAATATAGCTTCAAGACAACTACGTGCAACAGAGCTATGACTCTTCTTGCTCAAAATATTGTCCATGGCTGTTAGTGCTACATAGATCCTTGATCCAGGGCACAACTCACAAACCTGTAGAAACAAACAGAAGTTTTTTGTAGATTCAATAGCCCATAAAACTGACATGTAAACTGGGACACCTTCTGGAGTAGTAGATGTAAACAATGTAACTCACCCCTTCTACTGGTTCTGGGAACAAAAGCTGCTCCCTCCCAATCCTATCAACTTCGTCATCAACTGGCTCAGTCACAGTCATATCTAGTAATAAACCATTAGATGTATCACAGCTTTCTTTTCCAGACTGATGGAACTCAACCTGGTCAAAGTTAAGAAGTGGTGTATGGTAAGAGGGTTCGTGACCATCTTCAAATTGTTGGTCTTCATCTGTCCTTTCAATTTTGACATGAGGGGTGACAAAAGTGCCATTCGTATGAGGCTGTTCTCCATCACTCCACTGTGTGTTTCTGACGTCTGGAAAATTTCTGGGGGCACTGGAGATGGGAAATCTTAGGGTGCGACTTTGCATATCCATGGGACGGATCATTGATGGCGGTTTCTTTGTTCGTTTAGCAAAAACAATGGGTTTCTTCTTTAAATTTTCCACAATTTCTTTGGCTGAAGAGAGCCAAGAGGACAGTTCTAGAATAAAAAGGATGAGTATTAAATTAAAATATTGACCTTGATATTGTGAAGCAGAAAGTGCGCTCACACCAAAATGTGCACAAGCTTTACCAATGGCATCTTTGTGCTCCTTGTGAAGCCTTTTATTCTCCTCTTCTAAACGCCTCACTTTCTCTTTCAAAGTATGGTTCTCCTCTTGCAGTTGTTTGTTTTCCTTTATAAGATGCACATTCTCTGTAACTAATTGTTCCATGTCTTCTCTCAATGTTTCATTTTCATGCTTGAGGCTTAGACCAGACTCAGACTCACCCTGCTAAAACAAAAACAAAATTGTTCATAGATTAAGGACAGGAAAAATACACACCAAACTCATGTAAAAGCTGATGACGTATCTTTAGGAAAGAAATTACTCACTCTTTGATCCGAAAGTCCCATACCCAAACCACTCTGGACATAAGTGGCATCTCCTTTGAATTTCCGCTTCCTTTTAGCTTTCTCAAATTCAGGCTCATCAAACCGACATCTTATTTCACTGCTGTTGTCTGCAATGATACATAAACCCATGAAAATAATCTGTATGTTCCATGTTACTTTAAAAACCCAACTACCATGAGAGCCAAGCTTATATAAAAATGGAAGAGTTCAGTGTTTAGTCAGCCCCTGACCACGGCCATTCCTGTGCTGTGCTATTGCACTCTACCTGACAAAACAAAACTACACTTTTTGAAATGGAGAAAAAGACTGATATCAGGCATTTTCCAATACCTTTAAGGAGCATATCTAAAATGCTTTCAAGTAACTTTACCCATAAACCATATCACAAACACAGATACAATAAGCAAAGACGAGGCCATTCAAGTACTAAACTAAACGCAAGAATATTATTCTCTATGACTGTCTTTAAATCATCAAAACTCTCAGGAATGGCGCAACCAGAAGCGTAACAGGGAACAGATTGCGAACAATGATAGAATAAAATCTGCATGCCTTTTAAGACTATTCACAAATGTTTCAGAAGTGGAACTTCTGCTTGTTGTGGCTTGGAAGATATTTCAAGTGTGAAAAAATATACATGTCAGTTAATAAATTTGCAGTCACATTTGAAGTGCTTGAAGTTAGAGTCAAGCTTTAAACTTACTTGATGTATCTTCGAAGAGATGTTATAATCGGAAAACTTCCTGGTTTATCTTCAGACAAACTACACTCACACGAATATTGAAATACGAATCAAAAAGACTTTAAATCTGCTGGCTGCGCATTTCCGAGTTAAATTTTGAACTATTACTGAAGAAAAGAAGTCCCAACAGGTCACAAACCTTTTTGACATTACATAGTGAAGGACATGTACAGCAATTCTCAAGTCTCTGCCCCTTTCTATTACATCACTTGCAACGCTTCAATCAAAACTTAAGAATTACCGGCACACTAAAACTGACAATGGCAACAGCCAAAACATAATAGATTTTAGAAAAATAAGAACTGGTAAGGAACCACCCATTGTAGTTTTATGATGTAAAATACTCTATACCACGAATTGTGAGTTATGAAACCCTATGAGCAACGCTCAACTCAAAAACAACTGCTGTGACAACAACACAAAGTGACAACTTATCTCACCTGTAAATCTCTGGATTTGAACACAGAGAACAATGAACTGGTCCACCGAGATCTTGGCATGGTCCTGCATGTCACTCTTTGTGATGAGGAACTTAATGAATTCTGGAGTGAAGCGGAAGCCCATCTGCTGGAAAGCTAAGCAAAGGCATGGAAAACAATTACTTCAGGATAACTGGTGGCTTTAGAACGAATAAGGAGGTTTACACCTCAATAAGTGGTACCTTGAGCCAGTTCAGGTTCTTCAATGTGACCAGATTGATCGCGGTCATAACTCCGGAATGTTCCAAGCCACTGGTTAACATAATTATACAACTGCTGGAATTCATTGATATCAATGGTCCCAGACTTGTCTTTGTCAAACATTCCTGCAAAAGAAAGACAAATTGATATTGACACACAGGAACAAAATAGACTGAAAATGTTGTGCAGTGCAGGAATTTAACATTTATTTTACACTTGAAGTGGGAAAGAAACCGAAACAAAAGCAAAATATTGATGTTTTAATGAGTGATGGCAAAGTGAAAAACTGTGCTCCTCTTATATCAGAGCAAGTGCACAAAAGAAAAAAAAAGTGAGCAGACCAATGGATAAATCTTGAAAAACAAGATCATACCTGACTCATCCACATCGAACATGCCTGAAATGACAAAGTCAGGCCTTCAAAACTATACTATGCTCTAAGTCTCTGAAAAAGAGGGGTGAAAAATAAAAGCAATGCGCTCACCTATCATTAAGTTGCAGGCTTGGTCTGAAAAGTTCTTTCCTTGCCCATTGACAAGAGCTGCTTGGAGCTCCTTGGCACTTATTTTCCCAGATCTATCCCTGTCAACAGCATTGAACCACTGCTGTACTTGAGGGCTGACACCACCAGGATGCTGGTCACCAGGGCCACCGGGTGGTCCGCCTGGATAGCCCCCAGGATAGCCTCCAGGTGGTCCCCCAGGATAGCCACCTGGCTGATTTCCATAACTCATTTGAGGACCGTTTACACTATCCAAGTTCTGAAACAAAAATCAGAAAAAATAAGAATAAGTAAAAGATGGAAGAGGACTATGCAGAAAAGAAAAATCAAAGAGGTGAGCGGATTAAAAAGATCAACAAACAAATAAATTTAGAATTGAAGCATATTCCACACTAACATAAATGAATTTTAAAATATAATGCGACCATGCTTGCATTAACAGAATGATGAAATAAATAGATGTGACACTTCCAGATATGGGCAGACGGTTAGTAGAGGTTAAGGTGACACACATAAAAGTCCTCAGTTTTGTTTTCCTTATTTACTCACTGGGTACGACATGCTTCAAATCAAGAGAAAGAAATCACAGCTTATTCGCACCGAAACTAAAATATGCACAAAACAAACAACATAAGGTAATTGCTAGAGTTGCCAACAATGAGTTGATACTAGGATGACAACAGGACAGAATAGAACTATCACATGGGAACGTTCTGACGACATGGCACAACATTTGGAAATGGCTACGGGTAGACAGAGTAAGAGGTAATCTAAAGTCAACAAATGTCGTTCTGACAAAGGCAAGAACTCTGTAAATAACAAATAAACATAATCGACGTAACACACCTCAACCAAGGTCCCTTTTCCCTCCTCTCCTCTCTTCCTTCCTCTCTCCCCTCACCCCTTCTACTCAACAACAAAAGACAGTATCAATCTCGAGTATCATCAACACACAACTTCAAACTTATTAAAAAAATCATTCGACCCAATCTTTTTGAGAGAGGAATTGAACGCAGGTAACAAAACGTTAACATACGCGACAAAACCGTCCAGAAAAATAACTTCTTTTCTACTGACACTACGAATGAAACATGTCGAGTGACTCCGCGTTGTGGTGGTGCGCAGCCTGCGCGCCCAGCACCGCGGTCCTTTCAAATATTCCAAATACTCGTAGCAGACGATACGCACGCTCTCCGCCAGATGGCGCCGCGGGCTGTGAGACTGATTCCGAGAGTCGCTTCCGTCGCGCTGTCTCCCTCACACTTTGGGGGCCCTTTGCTCGGAAGGCGAGTCCGCGGCCCGTAGCCTGCGGAATTTGGGGAAGCGGTGGCAGGTATTCTGAAAGTTAAGGGGGGGCCCCCCGAGGGGGCGCCGAAGGCCCGAGGGCCCGGGAACGCTGATGAACTCGAACGGGGAATGCTCAAAATCAAAAATTTATAGTTTGGCCCTGAAATCCCCCCAAAAAATTTTTGGATTTTGGGAGGCCGGGGGGCCCGGGGTTCCCGGAACCCGGGGGCCCTTAACTTTAAACCCTGGCCCTCCCTCCCCGCGGATATGGCGTGGCGAGAGGGCCAGGGGTTTTCGGGGGGCTGGGGTCCGTGGGGTGGGCCCCGCCCCTCCACACAATGCCCGCAATAGTGGGGCGGCAGGCTGGCGGCCTGCACGCCCGACTCCTAGGCCCTCGCCGCGACACTGCTCTTTACTTAACCGCCTTGCACTGACAGGGAAACTGCCCTCTTGGGACACTGACGAGTGACAACCCGGTCACCGGACGTCCGGTCGTGCCACGTCCCGCCCGGTCAGTTCCGGTCTCGTTCCGGCCTCGCGGCGCGAGTGACAGCCGAGGAGAACGCTTCCAGTTTCCAGGTGAGCCGTGCCAGCGAGCTGAAGGCCCTGAAGGCCCGACGCTGAGACAGCCGCAGCGTGTCTGTGTGACTGTGTGTGCGACTGTCTGTGCGTCTGTTTGTGTGTCTGTGTGCGTGGCCGCGGCTCGGCCGACGAATCAATGCAGTGCAGTCCCCTTCGAGTCCCCTTACATTTCCAGTTGTTGACGGGGTTGGAAAATGCCTACTTTCTGTAGGAACACTAACCTTAAGGTTTCTTTGCATCGAGGCAATCCTCCGCGTCAACCAGGAGGGAGCTGCTACAAGCTCACACTGTGCGAAAAAAAAAACACAGTAAATCCTGTAACGATTAGTACAGCTGACGCTGTAGTTCAGAGTACGGGATTTACTGTAATGTTTTTACAGGATCCACTGAACTGTACTTTTTGCGGGGTTTACTGTGCCGAAGAAGTGGAGTACGGAATATCCTGTACAAACTATAGTAAATCCTGTAGCCGGGCACGGTAAATCCTGTATTCTGAACTACAGGAAATCCTGGCAAAAAAGTTAACGAGATTCACTGTGGTTTTTTTTTTTTCGCACAGTGCTTTGACTACAGAGACGCATCCTTGTCGCGTTTCACGCAAAAGCAGGCAAAGGCAACCTCCCCGGTGGCTGCGGCGTGAGCGAGAGCACAGCCGGCACAGCCATGGCACAGCCCTCAGGGCTGGCGTCGCGTCGCCGGCGACAGGTGGAATGGAGTGCAGTGCGACAGCCCCACTCGAGCCTCGAGTCTCTAGGGCGCCAGAGTCAGTGACGCGAGAGGTGGAGCCGCTACACTCTCAAAATTTTCCAAACTATTTCAGGCCATGAGAAAAGTACACTTTAAGTCTTAGTGTGGAAGAAGGTTGTACCAACATATGTTGAGATTTCCCCCGTGAAATAAATTCGACAAAATATCTATCCGGTACTAAATATGGTCAGCTGCACCACCACATCACAATACGGAGAACTTTCACCATAATGTGGAGAACCTTCACCGTAAGACTTGTGAAGCTGGACAAAACAAAATATTTTAGTTTTAGTAAGTTTACAAAGAAAATTCTTTTTGTAACGAACTACCTTTAGTTCGTTACAAGAAGATACATATACTCGAAATACCTCGTAGGGTTTTACGGCGCGCAACATGCGCCTCGAGTTGGAGGGCAGTTGGCGACACGGCTGCGCCCAATGGCGGTTGCCTTCCCTTGAACGCACACACTGAGAATGAAACCCTTAATGAAACCCAAATTTGGGTGCGGAAACCTTTCTCACCCAAATTGGGGCGAGGAAACCCTCCTCACCCAAAATTTTAGTCCTCCTGATCATGACTCTTTCATTATCAGTGCAGTGCAGGGGCTACTCGCCGCATCAGTGCACACCCATCAGTGTCGCTGCTGTGCTCTACACGTGGCATGAGCGCACAAAAATCAGTAACGCACAATGTGCAAGCCACTAGGATCTGCGGCGGGGCTGCGCGCTCACCACGCTGCCACAGGAAGCAACAACAGCGGAACTAACCTCCACGCCCGGGCGCGCTGGCGCGCTATTCGCACCGCTCCGGTTGGGCCAACCTGACATACCTGTCGGAAGCGCGCGCTGCAGGGCTGCCAACCAACTGACAAAGGAAGTTGGAGGGAAGGGGGAGGGACGTCTGTCTCTACAAAGGTCTCGCGGCACTGCATAATTCCACAGCGTGCTAAATAGGTACTGCGCGTCCGGTTTTGTCTCACTGTTTGACGAGCAATTCCGCCGCCCACACTCTGTCTCTCTCGCACCCCTGTGGCACACCGCACAAGAGCGAGAGAGAAGCTCCAGACAAAAAAAACCACTTGGTCGGCGACATCCTAGGAGCGGGCGCTTGTGGTGTTTTATCGGTTCCTTCTATGTATACGAACTGCCGAAAAGACACTTTGGGCGAAATCCGACACCCCCTGTGGCTTTGGTACGGGTCTAAACACCCCAAAAACAGCTGTTTTCGAGGGTTTGGGACTAGATGGGTTCTCGCAAACCGAGATCCAAAAAAATACCCAAATGGGTCTCAGATACTCAAAAAAATGCGCTCTTTCGAATGCCGTGTCGAACGAGGCTCTACGACGTCGGGTTTGGATGCTACGGGCTCTCAAAGTTGCTCAATTTCACTATTTTTACTGAAGATTTGAGCATATCAGGGCCGTTTGAAGTAGACCATCGGCGATTTCGCTCCTCTTTGTCTTAAATGGTGCCTACCCATAGGTAAACACCCCCACAAAATTTCAGCCATGTCAGGCAATTATTAGAGGAACTGTGAACAATTTAAGTTTTGGGTCATTTTACCACTGGGCTTAGGTTTTTTTGGGTCCAGAAAAAATAATTTTTTTAGCTATCTACTTTTGATCAGCACCTCTTGAAACGCCTTTTTAACATGGTGCCTCAAAACTTTTTTTTCGAGGACAAACTTGCCTTTTTCTCCAAGTTATGTTCTAATTACAGCTAGAAAAAGACAAGTTTGTCCTCGAAAAAAAGTTTTGAGGCACCATGTTAAAAAGGCGTTTCAAGAGGTGCTGATCAAAAGTAGATAGCTAAAAAAATTATTTTTTCTGGACCCAAAAACACCTAAGCCCAGTGGTAAAATGACCCAAAACTTAAATTGTTCACAGTTCCTCTAATAATTGCCTGACATGGCTGAAATTTTGTGGGGGTGTTTACCTATGGGTAGGCACCATTTAAGACAAAGAGGAGCGAAATCGCCGATGGTCTACTTCAAACGGCCCTGATATGCTCAAATCTTCAGTAAAAATAGTGAAATTGAGCAACTTTGAGAGCCCGTAGCATCCAAACCCGACGTCGTAGAGCCTCGTTCGACACGGCATTCGAAAGAGCGCATTTTTTTGAGTATCTGAGACCCATTTGGGTACTTTTTTGGATCTCGGTTTGCGAGAACCCATCTAGTCCCAAACCCTCGAAAACAGCTGTTTTTGGGGTGTTTAGACCCGTACCAAAGCCACAGGGGGTGTCGGATTTCGTCCAAGTGTCTTTTCGGCAGTTCGTATACATAGAAGGAACCGATAAAACACCACAAGCGCCCGCTCCTAGGATGTCGCCGACCAAGTGGTTTTTTTTTGTCTGGAGCTTCTCAGAGAGACGAAGCGAGGCCCACCCTCAGATTCTTACGATGAAAGGGCTATTGTAACATACGTTGAAATGAGAATATACGTACTACAATAAAATTCATGCGTAATACGATGAAATTCATGCATAATACGATGATACACATGCGTAATACGATGAAATTCATGCGTAATACGATGAAAAATTATGCATATTACGTATGTGCAAATTTATGCGTACCTTACGATGAAAAACCATCGTAATACGTATAAAAACGATCATAAGATGTTGAGTGTGCCGACGGAACCGCTCCACTGCAAAGCTAGAGGTAAGTTTGCTTGCCACAAATTTGGCAAGCCGTTTTGAAAGCCAAAATTTGGCAACCTTTGGTCGGCAAACTTCATAAGCTTGCCAAATTTTGGCAAGCTAGGGAGTATTTCCGGGCCAAGCTTGCCAAATTTTTGGCATTCAAAACCTCTTGCCAAATTTGTGGCAAGTAAACTTACCACCGGCTTTGCAGTGCGGACGGGTGCGGCGGGCCTTGCTGACTGGGCAGTCAGAGAGACTTCTGAAACTCCGAAGCTTCCCGGCGGCCCGCTAATTCCCAACAGCGCTCTTGTCACTCCGTCTCTCTCGCACACATGGCTGGCCCTTTAGGTGCGAGGGAGACAGAGCGGCACACCTCACAGGTGCGAGAGAGACAGAGCGACGAAAGCATCAGCCAACAGTAGGTCCGTGGCCGGCGAGAGCGCCTGCGGGGTAGGCAACACGAGTACACGCAAGCGCAGCGGAGCTGATGTTGCCTACCCTGCTGGGCGATTGCGATTGCGATTAATGGCTGGACCACAAAAGATCGTCTGCCTTTCGGGCCCGCCCCGTCATGGGCGGTCTCCTTGCGAGGCTCGTCATAATCGTAAGCGCTGCAGCGCATGTTTGGGACTCAGCAGGCCTCGAGTGTTCGAGGAAGCCCAGCTTAAAATTCCACCTGGAAATTGGTCTGGATTTATTTCCATTGTGGAAAGTAGAATCCAGAGGGATCTGAAATCCAGCTGGTATTTGGAACGTTTTCCCATCTGGAATTTTATGAATTCCATTGTGGGTTTCCGATTTCCAGTATGGATTTACACATCTGTGGAAATGGAAATCACTCCAAAATACTGTACTCGTTTATTTGTAAAAAAAGAGGCTTACTTTAACACTGCTAATCGCAGTGACTTTAGAATGGAGCGTGCCCCCTGTGGTCCCCCAATTTTTCAAAATATGGATTCTTTTCGCGTATTCATACTGATTCAAGCGGGAATTAGTTGAGTATTTAGAGCAAGCTTATCAAGTAGATAAGCTAAAGCCAGCTCGGCAATGGTACAGACACCAAAGAGGTGCAGGTGCCACTGCCTCAAAAATTGATCATGTGCCAGATGGTACTGGATTTGTCACATGTCCTCTGGAATTAGACTTCCTCGACTAAGGAAATTGGGAGCCTTGGTCACAAGCGAGAGATAACTTAGATTATAAAAATCTCAGCCTGTAATACTGATACATAGATCACTCACATGAGGATTCATAACTCTCGTGAATACCGTTCAGAATCCACCTATTCGGAAGTATGAGGGCACTTTCTTTGAGCTAGGAGAGCCTTTTATCTACTTCAGGACAAAAAAGCGACACTAGCGCCACCTAGCGGACAAAGCTTACAAAATCCAGTCTGGAAATGAAAAATCCATCCTGGATTTCTAGTAAAATCCATTGTGGAAATCTCGCTATAGACCTCTTTGCCGTTCCCACGGTCCCCCTCCCTGGACCGCCGTTGCCTAGCAACGCGAGCCAAACAAATCGCAGGTATGCTGCACACCGGACGGCGCGCGGCGGGTGGGTTTTTCGGCTATATTTCCTAAACCGTTCAAGATAGACGTGTACAGTAAGCGAGCCGATTGTAGATCTCTGCTTAAACTACAATCGGCTCGCTTACACTACCCATCTAGCTTTAACGGTTTACGAGATATGACCAAAAAACGCATCCGTCGTGCGTCGCCTAGCTGGCAGCATACCTGAGATTTGTTTGGCTCGCGTTGCTAGGCGACGGTGGTCCAGGGAGGGGGACCGTGGGAACGGCAAAGAGGTCTATGGAAATCAGACTTTCCACAGTGGAATACAATTTCCATTCTGGGTTACTCAAACCCTTATGGAAAAAAAATTTCCATCTGGAACCCTTATTTCCAGACAGCAGCCTGGTATGGAAATGACCCTTTCCAGCTGGAAAATATAAATCCCATATGGATATGAGCAATCCAGATGGAAACAAGGAAATCCAGAGGAAATTCCAGGTGGAATTTTAAGCTGGGAGCGACTGAGCAAAACCTCTAGTGCAGGGAGCTAGTGTATTCGCACCGATTCGCACGCGGCTGACACATTCTATTGGGCTATGGGAGGTTGTGTGTCCGGGGTCAATCTCCACAGAGTACGGATAAACCGCGAGGGTGTCCCGGTGCTCGGAGATTCAAGTGAAGCGGAGAAATCTGAGGTGAAGCACAGAGGGGTGAGACACGAGCGGTGCACCCCACACGTGATGTATGGCGAGGGTGCCGTGGTGCCGTGGTGTTTAGAGGGCCTCCTCAGCGAATGAGGCCCGGCGCCCCCTCCACCCCTTCCCTCTTCCACCACCCTTCTGCTCTCCGGCTCCCCTCCCCGAAGACACCCCGCGGAGGCAGCGCGGGGGGCCGGGGGGGGGGGGCGTTCTGCGTGGCGCCCATGGCTTCCATCGCGACTATGTGGCGCCGGACTTGCCGGTCGCACTAGAAGCGCCAGGCTGATTCCGAAGGGTGCTTTCGTCGCACTGTCTCTCTCGCACTCATGAGGCGGTCCGCAGCAGTCCGACAGAGATAGGGACTGTGTGTGTGTGAGAGAGAGAGAGAGAGAGAGAGAGAGAGAGAGAGAGAGAGAGAGAGAGAGGAGGGTAAGAGAGAACGACGGAGCACTGTTCGGAATCAGCCAACAGGGCCCAGCGTGGCAAAGAAGAAGAGCGGATAGTGGCGCCAACGGCTACCCTTCCCCTTCTCGCCGCCCCCGAACAGAAACCCCCCTAACTCCCTCCGCGACACCCCTACCCCTCTCCCTCCCTAATTTGCCCACCCTGCTGTATCGGTGCAGCCGATTGCTGTCCGGTAATTCCCTTTTGGCCCCCCCCCGCCCCGCCCCGCTCCCTTGGGACTCGGGACCGCCCCGATCCCTCGCGTCCCGCGGGCAGCGCGCCGCCGTGGCGCAGCGCCGTCCCTTTGAACCCGCCACGCTTTCAGCCCCGGCGGCGCGGCGGCGCGGCGTCGCCCGGTCTTGCCCCTCCTCGAAGGCAAGTTTTATTTTGTTCGCCGATTCTTTTCACCCAGTGCGGCACTCGGCTCCGCGTAAGTTTCCCGAGGAGGGTCCTTGGTCCCTGGCGCTGCGACTGTCGCCCACTCTAAATGTCTTACAATGAAATTTGACCCATGTTATTCGTATGTTACAGTGAATTCGGCGCAAGCATAATACGAAGCAATATTCCTTCGTAATACGAATCTTTTTTGCTCTTTCATTGTAAGATACAAAGAAAAACCTTCGTAATACGAAGAAAAACCACCTTCGTATTATGCTTGCGCCATTTTCTTCGTATTATGGGAAATTTCTTCGTAAGACATTAGAGTGCCGTCGAGCGCCGCTCGGCAAAGCGGTGAAAAAAAAATTTAAAAATTAAAAATTAAAAAGGAGCGACAATATAGCCGTTTGCTCTTCTTGCAGGGCAGCGAGCGGCATCGAGTGTGGTGGCAGGCACGACCACGCGGCAGACACGGCGAGCACACCGACCACCATGAGGATCACCATGGCCACGGCCACGGCAACCCCGATCCAAGAGAAGCTGGTCGGCAAGTACAAGGTGAGTCCATGACTCTCGAACGGCGGCGGCGGCGTGCCGCGTGCAGTTGTAACTTAGCCGCCGCAAAGCGTTCCTGGAGGCCTTCACGGCGTGTAACTGGATGTCTTCTAGGACGCCCATCACGAAGAGTGACTACTGCAAAAATTTGTTGTCACTAACAAAACAGCGGATGACGTTTTTATCAGAGACCCGTTACTTTTAGTATCGGCTTGACAACTGTGTCATCGGCAGAAGGAAGGAAAATTAGCTTTGAAATTGCTCTCAAGTGACAACCAAAATTTTTACAGTGTATGGGCATGGGGAACTTCGCGGCGAGGGGTCGTCATGACTCCGTACACCGGTTGCATATAACTTGTATCACTCGTGTATTACCGCCAAAAAGTCATAAACATTGCCAAAAATCATAGTGGAGCATCAAAAATTAAGGAAGCTGCGTATTACTGTATTACGTATTGCGTATTACTCTGTACATTCCCGATGTGAGTCGACGGCCCCTCGCTTCGTGGCGTGGGGCTGGCGGCCTCGGTGTTCGGCCTGCACGACTGTGGCGGCCTTGACGGAGTAGGACTGTGGTGCCCCGGGTGGCCTGCATAACAGCCCTTACGAAATGTCGCTGTTGCGGTGTTTATGACGGCTTTCACGACTGCGTTCACGAAGTGTGACAGTCACACTTTGGTGGGTGGGGTTAAGGGTTCGTCCACACACTACGTAACGTTCCCTGTCTCTCTTGCACTCACTGGCAGTCCTGGAGCGGGCGGCGGGATCCGGAGGGACGAGGGGCGTCGCCCGGTTGAAGGCGGTGAACCGCCTGATAGAGGAAAGCACATTCCCTTGTAGGTAGGCAAGTTTCGCGACATCTCTCCCCTACCCGTCTCTGGATCCGCCCTTGTGGAGCGACAAGGACAGATCTATGAAAACTGGGTCACGGGCGATCGCTAAGTTGAGGATGAAAAGTAACAATATGGAGCTGGTGTGTTGTCTTCGATCTATCCCTCGACCAGAAAATCAAAGTGTGAAAAATACCTGTCAAATGGATCTCGAGATGTCTGCAGTACCACAGGGGGATGAACTTTTCTCACCCTTCCTTTCCTCTCCCCAACTTACCCGTCCTGTAACTGAGGTGGCCAACTTGCGGGAGCGTATTGCTTTTTTTCCTACTTACAAGTGTTGCCTTTTGCTTACCATTCAGACGGCTCTCTACACGGTAAAAACGGTACCTGGTTTTCCCAGGAGCCCTATGGAGACATAGGCGATTTCCAGGGGCTTCCTGGTAAAACCAGGAACCGTTTTTACCGTGTAGGGTCAGCCAAAAGGGGAGGAGAGGGGGGGGGAGGGGGAAGGCCTGTTGCCATCCGAAAATCCACCCTTGTTCACGAAGTGTAACTGCGGCGGCCTTCACGACGCGCTACTGCGGACCAAACCTGCTGCGGTTGTCTGAAACGGTCTCGGCCAGAACGGATGGACCCGGCTGCGCCTCCTAAAGGATCGCACGTGAGCGGAGCGCGCGGAACGCCGCGGCAGAGGGCCCGGCGGAACGTGGGCCCACGTCTTGGCGTCCTGTGAGCGTGAGTGTGTGTGCGTGAGTATGTGTGTGTGTGTGATGCGTGAGTGTGTGTGTGATGCGTGAGTGCGTGCGTTGTCTGAAACGGTGTGGAGCGGATGGCGGCTGTGTGCGTGAGTGGATGTGCGGTGAGCGGAGTGTGTGGAACCCCGTGAGTGGGCCGGCGGAGTGTGGGCGCGTCTTGGTGTGTGTGGGGCGTGAGTGTGGGGGTGTGTGCGTGAGTGTGTGTGTGATGCGTGAGTGGTGGTGTGTGCGTGAGTGTGTGTGTGATGCGTGAGTGTGTGAGTGTGCGTGTGTGCGCGCGCTTTTGCAGGTGCGGCTGGGTTTGGGATGCGGAACTCGGGGTGCCTTCATAAATATCGTCTTTCCCCTTCCCTCCTCAACGACCCTCTTGCGTTCCCTGAGTTCATGCGTGGCGTTGCCTCCTACTGGATCCGCAGAAGTAATGAAAAAGGAGGTGCACGGGAAACAGGAAAACGAGTACTACTATCGGCGATGGAAAACGACTCCCGATCCCCACTTCATGGGCAGAGTTAAAGTCAATTGAACCATGTTTTTGGTTCTTTTCGTCTTGTGATTTTGGATTTTACTGGTGATCTCGACAAGACCATAGCCTATTTTCTTGGGGCGGTTGGGGTGGGACACGTGGTAAAAATGGGACAGCTGATAAAAACATGATATTTGGCATGGCATGTGAAATCTTATCCAGGGGTTCATCCCCGAAACAGCCCAATTGACACTGACAATTGTCAACAGCAGCAATGGTCTAGGGGACCGGTAGAAATCATTACATCCCAAGATGCCCCCATTGGCCTACCTGCGTGATTATGAAGTGCCGTGCCATATTTGGCGACGACACATAATAACCCATGGAAGATCTCCCAAGATTTCATGGCTGTCCCAAATATTTACCGCCTTTCACGTACACCGTTCGTTATCTTCATTGCCTTCCTCTTGCATTCACAGTGCATTCTCTGCCGTGCACAGCAGAGAAAGTAGAATGTGGTACTTGGTATTCGAACCCGCCGAAACGCTTATCTGCAAAAGAGAGCCAATAGAAGAGCCCCCCCCCCCCTTTCTTTCCTCCCTCCTCCTCCAGGGGCGCCCAAGGCGGGGGCGACGTCCACCAAAGCCCCAAACAACGCACCCTCTTCCCGTCCGACGGCCCGTCGCCCCGAAGCAGACAGACAGACCGACCGCCGAGTCGACAGGCCGGTGACCAGTGGCACCACGTACTACTGGTGGCGGCAAAAAGAATGAAATCGATATGACGCCATACCCCGCGCGCCAGAGACACCAGTCAGCCGGCGCAGCCTCGCGCGCCGGGGTATCGATGCCATTTGAATGCCGCCTACACTGGTGGGAGCGGCATGGCAAACATTATGGTGTGGCTGGCGTTGCTGTAGGTGTGGCCGTGGACACACTTAATTCTTTGTCCCTGCTTGCTCCTGCTGTGCGCATGCGCAAAGAAACACGTTTTCTTTGATTGGTCAAAATTTCCACCCTCAACTTGAATGGTCATCGGACAGAAAAACCTATTTTCAATGGGTTTCCCATGTGACTTACGTCCTTATGCCCAACGGCCGCTGACTTGAGTCATGCTTTAGATGCAGCTATTTCTGAGTCAAAATCCACTGGTCCGGAGCTAGGTTTGGAAAATACGCAAATGTAAACTCTCTTTTCCCTCATGAATTTGCATTTAATTTAAACTACACGAACACATCACATACGAGTCAATCTGAGACGCGGCAGTGTAGTACTTCCGGAACTTTAAAATCAATATCGAACTGGAACCTCTTTTCGCACAACATTAGTACACGTACAAATTATCATCTCTAAAATTCTATAATAAAATAGTAAAAATACAAAAGTACATAAACGGTCCATTTACACTAAAATCAAATTATATCACATTACCATTAAGTGGTTCAGTGCATTTTCATGAGAAATTGTTGAAACTTTTTTATGCACTCTTTTGAGTTTCTGAGCAAAATATGCTCTAAAGAAATGGCTCATAGGTTTCCACGGGGTTCCTGAAAAAAAAAACAAAAAAACAGGAACTTGCTTGAAATGTGCTTGAAAGAGTGCATGTAAAAAGTTTCAACAATTTATCATGCCGTTAATTTCATTAATCCGTAGCATGAACAAAAACCGGTGGTAATCAATCCCAGGCCACGTCTTCATCATAGTAGTACCCGTAATACCCGACAGGAGCGTCCTCACAATTTCCTTCGTCGATACCTTCACAGTCTCCTTCGTCAACAGCCGCTCGGTCATCGTCGGGTCCGTCGTCGTCCGATGCGCCAGATTCCGCCTCGTCGTCGGCCGAGTCCGGCTCGTGCCACCCGGAGCAGCGCTCGTCGCCTTTGCAGTCGTCGCAGCCGGACTCGTCGACGAGCATCTCCACCTCGACGTGGGGCATCTTGAAACGCTGCTTTAGTCTCTTTCCATTTCCGTCGCGGCGCGGAGCGCGGAGCGTCCGCCCAGCGACACCGTGTATCGGCGTTTTCATCGTGTTTTATTATTGTTAGTATGCGCGTATGCACCATCTTCCATCCTCTGAGCGCAAAGCCACTACATACTCACCTCTCTCTCTCTCTCTCTCTCTCTCTCTCTCTCTCTCTCTCTCTCTCTCTCTCTCTCTCTCTCTCTCTCTCTCTCTCTCTCTCTCTCTCTCTCCCTCCCTCCCTCTCCAGTTCACCGAGCTTTCATTACCCTCTAGTTAATTCACGAAGGCCGCAGCGGCTATAAGGGGACAGCGGGGTGGCTCTGCTTCGCTCTGCTTCGCTTCCAGGGCAAGCAGGTGCACTTCTAGAGGGCGGAAAATGGGAGGGGAGCGGGGCGAGACGTGTACTAACCTACAATACAGCGGGCCGCGCGGGGGGAGGGGGCGGAGGGGGTACATTGCGAAACGGGGGCAGACGGGTCGGGCGTCGCGCACGCGCACTCGGGCGCAGCCAGTGAGTACGGCTGGCGCTGCGCGGTGCTGTGCGGCGCGCCCCTCCCCGAGGCTAGCCGAGGCTAGCCGAGGCCTCCCCGCCGTGGAACCGACCGCGTAGCCGCGGCCCCCTGCTACGGAGCGCCGTGAAAAATCGAAGGGAGCCGGAGTTGACCCGCAGCGCTCTGGGCAAGCCAGTGGCGGATCCAGAGCCGGCCTGGGGGGGGGGGGGCAAAGCCGGCAAAGCAGCCCCTTTTGCCAACGAAGAGGGGCGTTTTGCCCACCCTTCGGGTGCTTGTCTAGGGGCCAAGGGGAGTCAATTGTCCCTCCCCCTCCCAACCGGATCCACCCCTGCGGCAAGCCTGAGGGCACCCTCACTGAGAAAACCTTTCAAACTATTTTGGGCCTTACAAAGAAAAGTAGTTTGTATAACAAAGTATTTTGAGCATACGTAAGCTTACAAAGAAAATACTTCGTAATTTACGAACTATTTCTTCGTAT